TCACAATCCTAACTGATTGAAAACGAGTTCGGTCGAATTATATGGGTGTATAATTTCAACAAAATAAAATATGGGTGCGTAATTAGTTCAATAACAATTCTTTTTTCATCCGCAAACGCTCAGATTCAACACAATACAATGCCCGATCGGTGGGAACAACCGAACAAATACAAATACAAATACTATATTATTTTTTTCCCGTTTTCCCCAGTAGTGCCTGCCTATTGGTAGAAAAAAATTATCACGCGTAAAAAAAATTTAACAGAAATTACATTAAAACATTTTACCCTAATAGAAAACAATTATTTAGGTTGGAACAAGTCCAGTGCTAAACTTTAAATAATCCCCTCTTTAAATTAAAATTAATAAGGAATTGATTTTTTTATTAATTTCATGCTTCAGATTAATTTAACCGCTAAAAGTACTGAGAAGAGTTTGTTTCTTCATTAATTTAGCAAGGGACTTAATTCGTGATTAATATTAGTGAGTGATGATAACCTCCATTACTATCTCCGAGCATGGAATGTGCCCCTATTTGTAACTTTAATTTCGTAGGGAGGAATTAGCAATAAAAATATTTTCCACTACTTTGAAGAGGGATTAATCCCTTACTGGTGTCTAGTTAAATAATACTACTTCTGGTCCTTAATATAAGAATTAGTTTGACATTTAATTTGGTTCTAAATATAAAACCCAATCTACTTTTGTCTCTTATATTTATATATTTTTTTCAAGAATATATTAAAGGTTTCATCAAATAGTAGTTATAACTAATATACATAATTAGCAAAGATATTTTGAGAAAGACAATATTTATTTATTACAAATAACTAACATAACTAATTTTCTTAATTTATTTGAATTAGTTAACTACCTCTTATATTAAGAATTGAAAGTAGTATATAACTACGCACATTGATTCAGGGAGGAATTAGAGAAGTTAATATACCTCGTATATTTAGCGAGGCTTTGTATGCATTCACTAATACTTTGTCAAATCATCTTAATAATTAGAGTAAAATACTTTCTTTTTTTTGGTTTTTGAGCAAATTTTAGAAGAAGGGTTAGACTCACTCATGATCCAAAAGCCAAGCAACTAACCCTTGATCCCAACGTCAACTAAAACCATTGCTTAAATTGGAACAAGATACCATGTTGCTTATGAGCTGAGACTTTGGCTTTGAAGATACCCCTCCCAGTGTCATGATGTGCTCCGAAATCGGACCCGCTCCCTCGGTGAGCATGTTCAGCCCCTTTGCTTGCTAAGGATGAGGGGTAAAATACTTTAACTTTTGTTGCATATATACTGTGTTAATTACACTTAAATCACAGGATATATATATATATATATATATACACACACACACATATCACTCGCAAATGGGGCCTAATAGTAAGTAAAATTTTTATTGGGATTTTTATGTGATTGTCCCTAGAGTTGATGTCTTGTTCTCCTAGAAGATCTACATCCAAAATGTGTTTCTCCTTTGTAATTAAGCCAGCTAAATTTTTTCTATCCTTTAAAAAAAAACACTAGCTAAATTTCTAGATTACTAATAAAATCTATTGTTTCAATTGTTTCATTTTGAAAAGTATAAAACTTTCATTCTACTTTCTCACTCCCTATTTAAACCGCTATATACATTTATAAGAATCAACAACTGACTTTTAGTTACTAGCTGCACCAATCTTTGTATATTGACTATGAATTTTTGTTTTTAATTCAAAGTCAAATTGATAGCAAAAAGACTACTTATAGTGTTTAGAGAATAATTAATTTTTAAATCCTTATAATTTTAGCTGATTTTTAATCTGGTCTTTATATTTTTTTTCCTTTTTACCATGTTCTTATCTCACTTGTTTTTAAGCAAGTCATAGTTTTTCTCTTTTTATTATATCCTTATAAATTCACCTTATTTTTAATTAAATGCTTTTAATTTCTCATTCTTTATTTTATAAATGTTAATAATATTATTCTCTAAAAAATAAAATAATACACAATATTATTTAATTATTTAATATTAAATTTAATCAATAAATAAAATTTAAAAACTACAAAAACCTCATTAAAAATCTGTTGAATTTAGAGGTGCTCACGGGATAGCCCGTCCTAATGAACAGTGACTATACGGAATTTTTGTCCTCATGTCTCATCATTCTTTCTTGTTTTCAAATCCTTGCCAATTGGGTCAGAATTTTGGACTTGGTTTTTGTTGTATTGTTTATTTTCACTGAACTTTTGAAAGATAAAAATACTTCAAAAACTATTATGCGAAAAGCCAAAATTATAAGCCCAAAAAAAATTTGTGCATTTGACAGTAAAACAATCACTGAAAAAATAAATACCAATATTAATTTAATAAGTGAATTTCTAAAAATAAATTAATACTTTAGGACTGGACGGGATAACCCCCTCCCATATCCCTTCTTATTCCGGGCATTGTTTTGTCTCATCCTGTTTCGAATTAAGTGGGACCAAGACAGGATAGTTGGGACATGACAAGTTGAGCATCCCTAGTTAAACCTATTTAATTAAAGATATATAAGGACTTGATTAAAAAAAAAAAACTACAAAGATATAACTAAAACCACGTAAAATTATGTGTAAGGACGTGACTAAAAATTAATTGAACTTATAAGGACTACTCACAGATAAATTACTCCTACCCACTAATAAAAGAGACGACTTCGGTTGTTAATTAATAAATACATTCTTTATTGTCTTGTCTTAGAGTTTCACTGATCTGCCATGATATGTAAATTCATGTGGGTGGAGTCTCTTAGCTTCATGAATATTGCATTTAGTTGGTTTGCTCAGAGTACGAAACCATTCACAGAGCAGCAAGTTTGAAGTAAAGAGTCTTCCCTCTCTCTCATATACATATATATATATATATATATATTCCTCTCCGTTCATGCGTTTCTGATCGATGTGGCCTCAAATTAGGCGTGATCATCAGCTATTAAAACCATCCATCACCTTCCTCCATAAATCAATCTTGTGGGCTCATCTCATCTTTCTTTCTTCACAGTACCATTACTGCCATGGCTGCCTCTCCAGAGGATCTTCAGCAACACTTTTGCATTGAATGTACTACTACTGTCTTGGCTCCTCCTAATACCGTCCTCTGTCCTCATTGCAATGGCCCCATATCGCCTTCCAATATGGAACGTCTTGGTAATGAATTCATCGACAAGTATAGGGCATTTCAAGCTTCGAAGAAGCCAGCTCCGAAATCTTCAATGGAATAGATGGAAGAATTCGAGATCACTGAAGATTTGCAGGAACAACAGCCCAAGTGCCCGATATGTCAAGAAGAATTTGAACTGGGAGATAAAGTGAAAGCCATGAAATGTGGCCATTATTTCCATGAGAATTGCAGTGACTCATGGCTTGGAGGTGAGAAAAACGAATGTCCTATTTGTAAGGCCACCTTACCCCAAGACCACAAAGTTATTGGTTACAAGAAGAAGCCTGGTGCTGATGGTTCCTCCTCAAGTTCTTCATTTGCCTGACCTAGTGTGGACTAGATATATGGTGTAATTTCTCATGCAAAAAGTACTCGATCATCATTAATATTAATCATCTAATTAAAACATAATTAGCAATCAAAACTATATTTATCTAACATTAATTTACCTTTCATTAACATCTACTTTTTTAATTTAAAAAATAAAGGCACTCTTGCTAAAAGATTTTCACCCTATTTTTCTTCTTCTTTCAGGCATGAAGAATCTCTGCAGTACTTCTTCTAAGAAGATTTTAGAGCATCTTAAATAAAGATAAATAGTTGGTCATTATTATTGTAATAGAGTTAGGGAGTATCCTACCATCCTAGTTTTCTTTGGAGCTATACTTATTTGCCTTTATATCATAGTTCTACTTGTAAGAACATTAATATTATTAAGCTACTGTTTAAAAATTAAGGATTATATATTCATATGATCTTCATCCCCATCTTTTCTTTCTTTCTTTTTTAGCTTATGAAATTAATTAAGGATATCTAGACTTATTTAGAATATATAATATAATGATAAAAATAAAAAGAAAAGAAATTCATTTATATATATGTTTGCTATTTTTGTTAAGGGGTATTTTTATAATTTTGTTATTTAAAAAGTCAAATAGACAAAATAATTTTATTATAAAAAATATACAAATGTATAAAAAAAATTACATTTTATCAAAAAGAACAGAAATATTTCAACGAGGGACAAAGGTTAAGATTTTTCAAAAGTCACCCAATATAGTGATATACATAAAATGCCAACAAATAATTGATCACTTTATTTTCGATTTACGATCCTGAATAACTGAATTTAATTTAAATTAAATTTATTTAAAGGTAGGTACTATAATTGTCCTATATCATTTGATACTATTTTAAATGATTTAAATTTAGTTTGAATTATTGGGCAAAAAATTTGATTTGAATTGAATTAGCCAGCATTTCTAATATTTGTGATGTTGAATATCAATAAATCACAAAGTAAAATACGTTAAATCTTTTATTTTTCCAAAAAATAAAAACTTAAATGGATCAATTCGTCATTAGCTACGTAATAGATTTAAATTTGGTGTCGCAATCCAAAACCTATTATATAATATAAATAAATTGATTCAAATGATTAAATTCCTTTTAAATTTCTTTAACCGCATCCCCTTTTCCTTTCCTGGTTTTTTTGGTCAAATCCCTTAACTGATATGAGATAGCAATAAGATCCCAAAAATTAGCATGTATGTTTCTTTGCCTTTTTTCCAGATATAAAGAGGGCACAAGTAGCGTATCTAACAATATTTCAGATTTAAAATCTGCCTAAATATAATTATTAGTATATCAACCCACAAAACAAGATCATCGAATTTTAAATGATATGAATCTAACGGCAATTCAAAACAAAATAACAGCATTCCACATAATCCACATATTTTTTTAGAAAAAAAGTTAGAGTAATTAAAAGAGGACACGATGGATATAAAAATAAAATATAAATTTTTGTCATATTTTTTGGTATTTCCCCTTTCCTCCCAGAGGACACAAACTTTCCACATAATCCATCATTGTCATGGTTGGAAAGTGGTTTTGCAACCTCTGCCTCTGTCCATTCCGAAAATTATATGAAATCATTTGACCACTAATGTTTTCATAAACAAGAATCTCATTGTCTCCCCAAAACCCTAAGATGTGCCAAGACTCAGAGAATGGTCGAACCACAAACTTCTTACTCCAACTGCTCTCAACACCATACTCATTCATCACCCAAATCTCAACACGAAGCTCAATCGAGTCATACTTAACAAACCAAGCAAGACTCTCATCCATTGTAGTAAGAAGATTATTCTCAGTAGGAGAGGAAGTAATCCCAGGAGGACTCTGGATAATCTTAAAAACCTCTTTGCTAAAATCAAAACTCACGATAAACTTATTGATCTCATCAAGGTCACGACATAACCAATGGTAAGCCCCATTCAAATAAGGACCTCTATATGAATAGGGGAATTCAAAAAAGGAGACATCAGCATCTATTTTTCTCCAAGAATTAGTACTGAGATTGTACACTTCAACTAGTGGTTGGTCATTTTTTTCCACTGGACAGATTGGAAATCGAACAAGCTTGTAATCCTTTGTGATGGGATCAAACCCAAATCCAAAGTTGGTGGGATTTATCCCTTTGGGTTGCCTTTGAGACGTAGGGATAGCCTTCACCTCCTTTGTTGCTGGGTTCCACAAAATTAAGCACCGAACATCTCCTTCATAATCTCCACAGAGAAAGAAAATCCCATTACACTGACCATAAACTAATATCCATTTCAAATCGTTGGTAGAGCAAGGCAATTCTAAGTTTCGGATCACACGAGGTTGCTCTATATTAGAAATCAGAGATATGGTGACTGGCAGATATTGACTGAACAATTGGAAGATAAGCTTGAGGTGGAGATTCTTACTGATAGAATTAGACCGTTCAAGATGTTTGGAGATAAAAGAAGGGTCTGTGATTAGAGCATACCAGGATTTGGCTACACATTTGAATCGAAGCAAAGATTTTACTGGCAACCTCACCATGATCTCCTCCATGAGATCTTCATGAAGATAGTAGTCGTCACTCACCATTTTGTTATTCGAAGATTGTCTGTTTCTCTTGTGGCTGGCTGTTGTTGCTCTTGATGGCTCTAGTCTTCGAGATAAAAGAGGAACAAACCATACGTGTAGGGTTTTAACTTGAAAGAATTATAATGAAGTCCAAAAAAAAAAAAATTATAAAATAAGTCTCAGAGATTGTGATTGCCTACTCTAATACTTGTCATTCATTATAGGCTATTTAAGTTGTTATTTGGACTTGTTAGTAATTATTTTTTGTTCTTGGGGTTGATTGTAATTCTCACATAATTTTATATCTGAAAAGTGCTGGCTCGATTATTAAGTTGTTATTATGACAGTTAAATCCTTTCTGTTTCTTATCATGACCACACAAAAAAAAAAAAAGAATGATCTATTTCTTTTAGTATAATAATACTTTTTTACCCTAACGTACCTATGAATTTTAAAATAACTGAACGATGCAAAAGACGTGTCTGTGTGTGTGTAGTATAAACACACATATTTATTATATGCACTGTTTTTAAAGTCATATTACAACCCTTGTAACTGATTCAAAACGAGTTAAGTCGAATTATATGGGTGCAGAGTTATTTCCATAACAATTCTTTTTCTCTTTCCCCCATTAGTGCCCAATTGGTTGAAGTAATTGCAATAATATTGTTAGCAAAAAAAAAAAATTGCAATTGCAATTATATTGGTAGAAAAAAGTATAATAACTTAATGAATCAAATTTAACAGAAATTAGTCTACCTAAAACAAAATAACAGAAATTACATTCAAACATTTTACTCTATTAGAAGTCAATAATTTGACATTTAATACTTTGCATAAGATTGTCTTCAATAGTAGGATACATTGTCTATACAAACAAACAAACAAAAAGTCAATAATTTAGATTGGAACGAATCCACCGCTAAACTTTAAATAATTCCCTTTTAAAATTAAAACTAAGGGTTATGTGAGAAGTATTTTTTTCAGATATGTTTAGCAAACAAAATTTAAATCTAATAGTAGCTAATGACGAATTGATCCATTTAGGTTTTTAGTTTTGGAAAAATAAAAGATTAAAACTATTTTACTTTCTGATTTACTCATTTTCAATATCACATATATTAGAAATGCTGACTAATTTAATTAAAATTAAATTTAAATTTTTTAAAATAGTGTCCATTGATACAGGGTAATTATGTTATCTAACTTTAAATAAATTTAATTAAAATTAAAATTCAGTTATTCAGAATCGTAAAAGTCGGCTGTATGAAAAGTTCCGTTCTTTGGCATCATAAAGACATCCTCAATTAAATATTACTCATTGGTGAAGGAAATCGAAAATAATGTTGATCGATTATTTGTTGGCGCTGTATATGTATGTTGGGTGTGGAGAAAAAAATATACTGGGTTACTTTTGAAAAATTTTAACCTCTGTTCCTGGTTACGTAGACATATTTCTGTTCTTTTTTTGATAAAATGTAATTTTTTATTTTATATAAATTTTTATATTTATTTATAACAACATTATCTTATCTGTATCTTTTTAAATAACAAAATTATAAAAATGCCCCTTAATAAAAATAACAAACTTACAAGTGAATTTTCCCTTAATAAAAATATCAAACATACGAGTGAATTTCTTTTCTTTTTATTTTTATCATCAATATTACATTCTAAATATGTCCAGATATATATATATATATATATATATCTGAAAAAGGAAAGAAAGATGAGATGGAGAATACTTATATTTTAAACACCAGATTAATAATACTAATGCATGGTCAAATACAAATAGAATTATGATAAAGGAAAATAAGTAACTCTAAAGAAAACTAAGATATATAGTAGGATACTCCCTAATTCTACAACAATAATAATGACTAACTATTAATGTTCATTTAAAATTGCTCTGAAATCTTCTTAGGAAAAGTACTGAGGAGATTCTCCATACCTGAAAAGAAGAAGAAAAATAGGGTGAAAATCTTTTAGCAAGAGTGCCTCCATTTTTTAAATTAAAAAAAATAGTAAAAGTGAATGAACTTGTTCAAGCTAACACTAATTTGAACAAAACAAAAAGATAAGCATTTTTGCAAAAGCAGATATTAATGAAATATTAAGGTCAGATATAAATATAGTTTTGTTTGGTAATTATGGTTTAATTATATGATTAATATAAATGAGTTCTTGTATAGAAATTATACCATATAATCTAGTCTCCACACTAAGTCAGAGTACACGATGAAGGAGTTGAGCAGGAACCAGCATGGGGTAAGGTAGCTTTACAAAAAGGACATTCGTTTTTCTGACCTCCAAGCCATGACTGGCTGCAAGCTTCATGAAAATAATGGCCACATCTCATGGCTTTTACATTCTCTTCCAGTTCAAATTCTTCTTGGCATATAGGGCACTTGGGTTGTTTTTCCAGCAAATGTGGAGTGATCTCCAATTGTTCCATCTTCCTCAGTGAAGATCTGGGAGCTGGCTTCTTAGAAGAAGCTTGAGATGCCCGATACCTCTCAATGGATTCATATCCAGCAGGACGTCTCATTTTGGAAAGTGATATGGGGCGGTGGCAATGAGGACAGAAGACAGAATTAGGGGGAGCATAGATAACTTTGCAATCGATGCAAAAGTATTGCTGCACATTCTGTGAAGAGTCAGCCATGGAAGCAGTAGTAGTGTGAAGAAAGAAAGATGAAATTAAGAAGCCGTCGGGATTAATGAATAATGAAGGTGATGGATGGTTTTAATAGGTGAAGGTCACGCCCAGTTTGAGGCCACATCGATCAGAAACGCATGAACAAAGAGGGATATACATCTCTTTTCTGCAGCGCGGCGGCCGCCCTGTGACTGGTTTCGCACTCTGAGCAAACCAACTAAATGCAATGCAATGTTTATGAGGGTACTGTTGGTTGGAACATGCATGCATGAAGAAAAACTCCATCCCCATCAATTGCCATGGCAGATCAATCACATAGGACTAATTACAGGTTAATGTGCATTCAGAACTATTTTTCTAGATGTATAATAAAGTATTTTGTAGTTAATTCAGTTTCAGGAATTTTTTTTTTTTATGTGCACCCAACATTTTAAATTATATTTTGATGTACTTAACAGCCTTTTTCATGTGTCCAAAATTATTTTTTAATGCATATATAGTACCATAAATTGCTAAGTGTAAAATTGCATTAAAAGATATTTCAGGATGCTGGATGTACCATAAAATATTTTAAGGTACTAAATATATTTTAAAAAAATACTTTAGGATACTAGATGCACTTGAAAAATATTATAGGATGATAAGTGCAAATTCACCCTTAGCTATATCTTTGTAGTTTTTCTTTTTTTATGAAGTCCTATAATATAGTTTAAACATATTTTCATTCAAGTTTTTGTACTTTTTTAACTGTTTATATTGATTAAATTTAGAATTAAATAATATAATAATTTTTCTATATTATTATATTATTTGCAGAAGAATATTCTTAAAGTTTATAAATTAAAATAGATCACATAATTAAAATAATCTTATTAAAAATTATGTAAAAATTTAAGAACCTAATTTAAAAAAAGAAAGAAAAACTACCTAGACTTTATTAAAAACAAGTGAAGTTATAAGAACATGATAAAAAGAAAAATTATAAAGACCTCATTAAGAATCAACAAAAGCCATAAATATGTGCAGATCAATTATTCCAAAAAAATATAAGTAATGTTTTTTTATTAACAATTTCACTTTAAATTAATAACAAAATTAATAGCCTACTCTACTTTCTTTTTTTCTTCCGCCAAACCTACAAAAATTGAGAAAAAAATATAGCCATCTTCAAAATGCTTTTTCCTTCCAAAATATCATATTTAAGACTGAAACTAGGGAGTGATGTTGCGAGTTTGAGAGGCTAGAGCTCGTGATCGAATAGTTGAACGAAGATAGCGATAGGGTCGTTTTATACTTTTTGCCCGATTTTGGAGAACAAAAAATGAACTTTCAAAACTAAAAATCAAAAAGAAAAAATATATAAATTGTTCTGATTTTTTTTTTTACACATTCCTATTTTTTTTGTTCTTACCAAACAATTTTTTGTTTTTAAAAATAAAAGATTATTTTGGAACTAGGAAATCAAAGAAGGCCTTATATTTTGTTTTTTAGCTAATCTACTCATTTTGTATCGTTTTTACTTTTTTTCCAGTTAGAGATATTCTCCACTAATTAATGTATTAAGTGCTTCATTTTGTTTTATCACTGTAGAAAATTTATGTTGAATAGTCAATAATTAGATTTGGTCAATTTGGATGGATAAATAAATCAGTGAAAATAGAACGGCTTGGAAAAAGAACAATGCTCTGTCTTCTTAATTTTGTCTCATCCTAATGTATTGGATGAATTAGAATGTACAATACATGACTTATAAATAATATAGCTACCTATAAAATTTTACATCTACAAATATACATAGTTTTTTTTTATAAAAAAAAACCCAAATTTAATGAACTGAGAGGATACAAATAAACACGTTTGCTAAATTGTTGAATTAGAAAATTTGAATTTGAACAATATTACACTAACATTATATTTGTGGATTTTTTCCCAGTTAAGTCATTGCACTCTACTTCTCTGAAGCTTCACACTTTTCAATTTATTCCATGACTCAAACCCCAAAGAAAAAGAAACACCAAAGGCATCATGTGAATAACGTCTTCCTATTTTTATAATCATCAAATTGGATCACAACTGCCGAGATTCTGATCTCTGTTAAGAAGATGCAGAAACAATATCAAATACTGAAAACCAGAGAGAACCATAACTTTAGTGCAGGATCCACCAAAACATCAATTTATACAACTGGTGTTGATTCATACAAATAAACATATCTTTTTAGCAAACACTGAAAATGGTTAGAGACAATCCTAGGAATCCGAAAGAAAGAATGAATTGTTCTTGGTTAATACCTTAATATGTCATAATCCATTACCTCATGTAATGCAGTGTTAGGCTTTCTTGTTAGACAGATTCTGCACCGTAATGTCCGTCATGAATGGAGTTGCCATTTTCTTTGCCGAGTTTGGAGTTGCCGTTTTCTTTGCCAAGTTTTGATTTTGGTAAAGCTGATGCCTGCCATGGAGACACCTTGCTTGATTGGGGCTTCAGGTTAAGGTAAGTGTAAACAGACATGCCAGAAATCGCTGTAAATGCCCCGCAGATACTGGTTTTGCCAGGATTGGCTCCAAAGAGATAGTAATTTCCCAGAAGGAGGACACAGGTTTTAAACTGCCCAAGAACAACATGCGAGATAGCTGATGTGGCACTGCGACAATGAAAAAGAGGGAAAACACATGAGAAAAAAGAGGAAAAAGCAGCCAGAAGAAAATAGCATGCTGTAATGTTCTCAACAGTGAGTAGAGACTGAAAGCAAAAACAGTAACAGAGTAATATGATTGGCGCAAAAAAAAAAAAAAAAAGGTATCAGAGTAATATGAGCATGACATCAAACTAACTATAGACAAACATGCCAGTAGTAAACTCCACAGACACGTCTTAACCTCCTCAAATGTTTACTTGTTGGTTTAGGAATACTAATTCCAGTCGTTACTATAAGGACATTCCATATGGTCCTTAACATAAGACCCTTTAAAGTAACCTAACTAAACAATCACCTAACTAATTAAACGACATCTTCTAATTAATGACTCAGTGAAGGTATTTTTGAAAGTTTAACAGCTTCAACTAATTTTAGCTGAATTTCTTAACCTATGCAAAGTAGATAACATGTCCTTATAGAAAGGATTCGAGGGAGTATCTACCTGAAATGTTTTCAAGAATTTGTGAAAATAACCGAACATGGAACCGAACAAGAAGCATCATTCACTATAAAAACCAATACGGTGAAACACCAAACAGACGGTTAACACTCACCCAAGTGCTAAAGCACCAGACCACTGAAGCAAGAACCCAAGAATAGCTGATGCAAAAATCACCAGTGTGTTTTGGAAGTTCCAATTGAAGGAAAGCACACCTGGAGGATCTAAGCAAGGTAACATAGCAGCCAGGAAAATCAAAGTAATAGGTGTTGTTTTCCACATCAACCTGTTGATCGACCCACAAATCATGCGCGATACAGAAAAAGGAATTCGTAATGAAAATCAACATCTGTGGGGAGGAGGTGAGGGCAAGAATATATGAATGTTGCTAAAAGCTTACGCCAGAGCAGTCCAGTTCTCTTGCTGCTGCAGTCTGGACCAAAGGATTTTGTTCACAGCACTAGGTATAATCCAAGCCAATGCTACACAAGCGCCAAATACATGGAACTGCAGATCAGTCACAGTGGCCACAGCAACACCAATAGATACCACAGTGAGTGCTAAAGCCTGTAAATTTTCAAACTCTTATAGTAAGCATTTCAAAATTTCAAACAACGATGAGATAAGCACAAATTTCCCAAATATATGGCCACCTAAGGTTAGGTTAGGTAGTAAAGCTGGGGCGGGGCGGGGTGGGGCGGTGTTTGAGTAGAAGTTGAGTTAAAACCATTCCTAATGTATCCAAGGAAAATCCCAAATATATAGCTCAGAGGGATTGAATGTTTGTTAGCAGCAGAAAATAATATTTTCTTGGATGGATTCTCAAAACTATAAAGTATGCTCCGAGTATGATCTCAGAAGAACATTAAAGCTATGTAAAATAAACCTAACAAGCATGATTCAGCTTATCTTCCACAAATATACAGGTTCAGTAGAGGTGTGAGAAGGATCTTCAACAGATACACTTACTTTATAAATGAGTCATTTTTTAGATAAGAAAAGGAGTAAAGTGATGATTTAAACCCTAGAATATAACCCCCCCCCCCGGTCTTCTATGGATATAGTCTCTTGATTTAGTCCTTGAAATATCAGTTTCCTCTTAATTTGATCTTGTAAAGATGAAATTTCTCATTTCAGCCTTCCAAACATTTTCCTCCACCTCAAAATGGTCCCTTTGATAATCATTTTGACCCTTTTTTAAGTGCCATTTTGATTCAGGGACTAAATTAAGTTACTTTAAAGGACCAAATTAAGAGGATAGTGATCTTTCAAACCTAAACTAAGAGGTTTAGATTCTGAATTCAAATTGAGAGGATGGACAATAGGATAAAAGGAACAATTTCACAAAATAATCATAAAGCCACAAGCAGTACAGGGCATAAGAGGATACACATTTCTGTAAGTTATATTTGTAATCAGCCACAATAAGTTCACAGAAAAAATGAAGGCACTAACCTTGGCCATAGAAACTCTCTTCCTATACAGTATAAATTCAGCCAGAACTATTGACGGTGTTACTGCAATCTTTGCCATCTGATAGAAACCAATGCTGAGCACATAGAAATTAAATTCAGAGTATAAAACTGAAAATTTTAAAGAAACAGAAATGGGAACATTTACGTTACCTATTATACTTTAAGCTGACATTAGCAAGGCCAGTTGATAGAGACATGACAAATCCAAGAGTAAATAAACTTGACATTTGAGTTGATTTTGAGGAAGGAGGTGCCGGGAGGAGAGAAAACGTTTTTAATACAGCCATGAAGAACCAGCTCACTAGATAGTGAATTAGTGTGAGAAAAATTGGAAATCTGAAATTAATGGTTTGAAGTACCTGGAAAAACAAAAGAGAAAGAAAAGGAAGAATGAGATACAAGTCAAGAATGTCAGCAAACATGCTATTTGAAATTCCAATACATTATGCAGATTAATCAAATAGAAGGAAGAGTAAGTACCATTTTGTTCATGAAAATAATACCAACTGCAACCAGAAAATTGAAGGAAAGCGCAACAGCAGGACCACAAATACGCTGTTGTTGGCGCTTTGCACCTTCAGAGGAGCGAAACTCATTAAAAAGAGATGCTCTTAACTCTTCGAGTGCTCTTCCTGCAATGAACCATAACAGATAATAAAACACTTAATGATAGTTAGGATAAAGCAAAATGACAACTAGACTACAAAACTTGAAAGTGAATTTTATTTGAATTAGCATGAACATTGCAAAGCTCATATTTATGACAATATGAGTATGTAGTATAAAATGCAAGTCCTAGAACTTCATAAGAACCCATCATATCAAAAAGAAGATAACTATACATGCATGATCACCACCAAGAACCAAAAGATAAGAATAAAAAAGTAGTTAAAATCCCAAACTAGGAATTATAGGATATTTCTCCAAGTAAAATGATTATTCCTAGATGGAATAATATGCTGACTAACCATTTAAGTATTAAGAACTTTGCAAACTAAAAGAAAAATGAAATTAGTCACAGATATAAGGATAGCACTATATGGCTAGCTCAGTGGAGGTTTCAGGTTTTAAATTTACACGTAAGCTCAAATTCTACTATAGTTGCATGGGTTTGCTGGAATTAGATGCAAGTGCAGATGATGAACCAGAACCACCTTCAAAACAAAATTACTTCATCCTTTCAAGTATATTAAGATATAGAGAAATTCCAGTCTTAGAAGCAGCAAAAGATTAAGAAGCGGATTTACAACAATAGTGATGGATAATAGTCGTCACTCTCTTTACGAAGCATCAAAAACAAAACATGAAAGGAAATTGCAAGATCCATTCAAAAGCGTTCCCAAACGAAGAAACATAGTTTTCATGAAGAGTAATAAACAATAACTAAGTTATTTACATCTACATTGAAAGCGCAAATGTGTAAGTCGAATAACCAGAGCACATGCAAGACAGACTGATTGAACCTTCATTTAGGGGCAGAGAAGCATCCCAAGTGACCAGGATTGGCCAGAAGCTACGATGTATGCTAAAATAAAAGAACAGAGAAAATCTCAACATGATGTAGCCTACCATCAGAACTTCAGCCCTTATTACACAAAATGAGGTCTAGAAGGCACTGTTAAAGAAGCATCAATAAGTTACATTGTATACTAGGAGAACAAATCAGAAAAACCCACACCGCGAAAGAAATTGATAGGTTCAAAAATATAATGGTACATTGAATATTAGGACAATAAACAGAGAAACTCTCACAACCAAAGATAATAACGCTAAGCATTACACCATCAAAACTCGTAACACAAAATGAGGTACAAAATACACAAAGAAAGAAACACCTAAAAACGCCAAAAACCAAGAATCACCAAGAATGTGATCCAATCCCAGCAAAAAGACGGAGAAATTTGAACACTGGGATGCCAGATTCTGAGTAAAAAGCGTATTGACAGCTACTAACTAACAGTGACGATGTTGATCAGGAAAAAAAAAAAAAAGCCCCCACCTTTTTCGCCCGCATCGCTGTCTTTGCGCTTGAGAATCTTCCTAAGATCTTTTCTTATCAAGAAATTTAACATCTCAGCTCAGATTAGCCACACTCTCTTCCTGAACTCAAATGGGTATACTCCTCTTGGAGCCCTAGAGAGCAAAATATGGCTGTGGAGTAATAGTGCTCAAGTATTGGGTAAGTTAAACCCCAGAATACTGCAAAAAGCAAAGCATCATCTGCTTGGCTGTTTTAGCAGCTTACTGGTTTTATATTTTAGTTCTTGAAATAGTAGAGGGTAGCACCGTGGAGTGTGGACAGGAGAATGGGAAAAAGACAAGAGGTATTAGCAAATGAGGAAGAAAGAACAAAAATGGATAGGAGACACGTGGATTTAAAAGATGCCGGTAATGGCGGAAATTTGCAGCTGTCGGGGACTGAGATTGATTGTGAACGCTCAGTGAATCACGCTCTCACTGACCGACACCCGCGAATTGAAACAAATTTCATGCATTGCTCTTTTACTCTGCAGTCTGCACACAACCGAACAATATGAACAAAATAATAATTGTTGGGACTAAGATTATCTGTGCGAAGTGCAAACTATGAAGTGGGATCTTTTTGTCCCGCAGGATCCATTCATTTGCTGCTGCCCGATGATACGATGTCGTCCGATGCCTCCCCACAGTCGATGCTTAGTGAAAATTTGAAAAAGCGTCAGTTAGCCATTTTAATTTACAGCATGATAAGTTAATTTTGTCTCGCTGTCTTTTAATTTTAGGAGATGTTTGGCAATCTTTAAATTATAGTTTCAAAAACAATTTTTTATAAAACGAGACAAATTCTTTCACATATTTATTTTATAAACTGTAAAAACACTTCTGAAATTATGGTTTGGTTTCTATCCAAATATCTCCTTAGTCAAAAAGAAAATTGTGTCTTTTGATTTAGAGGTATAAATTTTTTTTTTTAACTCAGAGTTTTGTTGTGAGACTAATTTTTACAGGATGAGAACGTTAAGATTAAAAACCTCCTAATAAGTGGATTTCTTAAAATGCAAACTTATGTTTTTTTTTACGAGAACAAAACTGCTTATCATTTTAACTAATAAATCAGGATCTCAAATTGTTAGTTAGTGAATGCGTGTTTGAAAGGTAATCCAAACAATTTGTTTGTTTATTGTTCGTCCTTATCGCTGTACTTTTTTAATGCTTGATGTTGACAATTAAATGTTAATCTAACCGGAGTACATAATGAGAGCTGGTTGTGATTTTGGAATGTGAGATATCATTTAAAAGATTTTGAGAATAAAATAATACCCAGCCGAGGGTATGAGACTAATCAACATTTTCATGTTTGTCTCTTTGAAAAGATTAAAATATTTCAAAAATAAAGAGATTTTAGAGCGAAAATCTACTTTCTAAAATTTCTTCCAAAGGAAAAAAAAAGAAAGAAGAAGAGACATTTGATCATATATTTTCGTATGAAATATTATTATCATTACAAATTAATCATTTTATTATTCAACCCAATATATGATAATGGAAAATATCTTCTCTCCTCTTATTTCCGTGTTCTAATTTTCTCTCTTGCCGTAAATAAAGCGTAAATGGTGAAAAATCATGTTTAATTCTGATTATTATACAGTGCATAGGATTTACAATGACTTTATATGACGCGATTGAGATAAAAATGGATAATTAAAATATGAGAAATATATTGACGGCCAAAAAATGTGAGAAAAAAATATAATTTTTCTAATAGTGACATGCTATTTTTTATTCAAAATATGAAAATAGCTGGAAATGAATTCTATTGCAAGTGATGCTGGTTCTCAAGGACGAGAGTGGCCATAAATTAATTTCCTTCACTGCTCAATTATTTATTTCCCAATTAAATGAAAGGGACATAGAAGGAGAGCTAGTTAATGTATATTGATTTCCATCAATTCAAGAACAACACTTAAATGGAAAGGGGGTTAAATTTCCTCCAATCTTTGGATGTATTTCAATTTTTTTAATTTTTATTTGTAAATTAACATATTTGTAATATTGTAATTATGAATCATCCAATTAAAAAAATCATTTGGACGAAAAATTACAGAATAAATATAAAAGAAAATTACACTATAATTTTACCGTGAATGAGAAGTTTATGAAGGGATGATAATGAATTCTCTTGCCCAATCAGTTTCAAGCAAATGGCTGCATTTGCTCTTCTTCCTGCTTGAATTGAACAAGATTCAACATATTTTCATATTGGTGATTTTATAAAATATGTTTGGGCCAAGTTAATTGTAAAAAAAAAAAAATTACAGATATCATAAGTAAAATTTAATAGAAAAAAAATTTGATAAGTGCCTCTAATATATGTTTTATTCTATATTTATTATTCACATAGTAACACTACTATTGTAATATATGACCATCCCTATGCTACCTAATACAATAACCAGTGAAATAATGTTTATATATTTTTGTACTTTTAGTTAATAAATAATGTAGTTAATACAACGAATTTATTTAAATGAACAAAAGAATTATTATAAGAATATCAACACGGTACCATTGCATTGCAACAAACTCATGAGAGGAATAAATGTTGATTAGTTACAAAATCTAACTACCACTTTTATTTTTTCCCCACAAAGTTTAAATTAAGTGATAAATAAATGAACCTAAAAGGGGAAGGTGATTTCACATGATTTCATTTATGTTTGCAAGATATGCACATGACTTTCTTATTCCACCGTTTATTGTTAAGCATTTTTCTAATTTATAAATTCCATACTGTTTTTGTCTTGTCCTTGTTAGGTTGCCTTCAAAACTCCAAACAACAACAAAAGCAATGAGGACCCTCACATGTGACATATCACATGTCTTGTTTAGCTCTAAATAACTACTTGTTTATTTCTATTGTCTTTAAGCTTTTGTACCGGAATGATTAAGGTTCAATGAATTTCTTTTTAAGCAGTGTTCAATTTTCCTTTCCTTTTTCTTTATTCTTATCCTTCTTCTTGTTTTTTTTCCCCTTATGGTTTTGGTTTTGAAACAAGAGGGGCTCACTTAATACATCAATGAGTTTGGAGTGTGTAAAAAATATTAAGGTTGAGAAATATTGTCAAGGGTTATATACCAAAATTTAGGAGCTTGAAGTATCCCAGGCATGCCTTTCCAATGATGGTTTAAGACAAGGTCATAACTTTTAATAAAATTTTGTTTTTTTTCCAAGAAGTATACAACCTAAGGCGATGTTTGATATGCTGGCCCAAATTTTAAGGAATTAATGAGAATGAGATTGAGATTAGGATTAGAACTGGGGATAAGTCTATGTCATGATATTGCTCATGGGATTGATGATGGGAGGAAGCACTTCGATCTGATGTTAGACATCATTGAACTTGAACTGGATCCAATGGTTACTTCTTCCTAATAACAATGGTTGCCAAGTCCAGGGGCTTGTGGAGCCTTGTAGTGGGAAAGGGGCGAATTGGTCCGAAAATAATCAATCTCATGATTAAATTTTCAACACTGAGAAGTGGTTATACTGAATAATCTTATGAAAAGTGATATTGATAAGTTTCAAGATTGTTGAAATCTTCATATATATATATATTTTTGGATTGCTCCAGGGTATCCCACCACCGATAGCAGTGAGACTAATCCCTCGTCCCTGGGTCGGCGCACGAAGCGGTAAGGGACTGGCCACGGGGTGCTTTCCATTCACAAGAGTTGGGGATCAAACCCCCAACCACTTGCTTAAAGGACGAGATGCAATCTTCATATATATATATATATTAAGAATAACAAGATGGACAATCCCAGTACCAATCACAATAACTCATACCAAAGAGAACCTAAAAGTTGTTAGATACCAAACATCATCCACAAGACTGAAAAACTTGAAGACAATCTATATGTGCCTCAAATTTGTTGCCCATTGATTTGACTTGAACTCTAATACTCTTTTCTTCATATTAAAGGCGAGCCAAGGTCTGCTTTCTGGGTCAGAATTTACCTACATCCGCTCTCCAACTTGTCTTTCTTTTGCTCCATTCCCGAACAACTTGGGAAACTTTAACTCCCTTGCTTTTCCTGCTCATATGGATTTTTTAGAGGAATTCGCACGGACTAAAGCATCTTTATCTTGCCCACGAACTAGGCGAACCAACCAACTTGGGCACCCTCTTGGTTGGAGGGAAAAAGATGAGCAGAAAAAGAGAATGAGGGAAAATAAACTCACCTTTGTTATGTGTCCATAAGGTTTTCTTTGGAAACAAACTTCTCTTGAAGAATAAGAAGCATCTTATTTAAATAAGGAAATGTGACATGATTCTATTTTTCTTTCTCAGCCACACTATTCACATATTTTGGTTTACGTTTTCTTTTCCCTTGGCCCTGTAATTTCTCTCTTATTTTTTTTTCCCATTCCTATTCAATACCAAACCAGCATAAGTCCAAAAGTAGAAAGAATATAAAAAATAAACCTAGTCAGTCATGGGCGATTTTAGAAGAACTCAATTTAATATAAGCAAAGTCAAAAGTTTGAATCTTATGAAATGGAAAAAAATCATGTTATATGATTTATTCCGATCGAGCATGGGAATATTTGGACATCAGATGATTATATATTAAGGGAAATGTAATACTCAAAAATTTAAATTAGTATAGTGTGTTTTTGAAACAAAAAATTTATTTCTTTTCTTTGAACCTGAACTTTTTGAAATTGGGCCAAACATATTCACGAACTGGTCTAGCCCATTAAGACGCTCCTTGTTCATCATTTTCACAGCGTAAAAATTTAATCCAAAGAAAACGTACCCCCAAAAAAAAAAAAAACTAGTGCTCCTCAAATGAATCTGAAGTTCAAACACACACAATGAGGTCAAAGCCGTCGAGTAGAATCATTCACTGGCAGTGTTGAAGCTAGATCCATCTTCTTCCACTTCGATTTCCATCTGTACTTCACTGACCCGACCCGCGAAAATGCCGCCGAAACACGAAACTCAGGCTCTTCATGGCTCTTCCTTCTCCACCGTCGCCGATTCGTCGTCTTCCGCTTCCATGGATCCCCTCTTCCACATTGTCCGGATCCTACCCTTTAGCTTCCTCCGCCCGCCTCGCCTCCGCCTCAAGCTTCCATCTTTCACCCTCCCATCTCCGATGACCGTCTTTGCGCTAGTCCTCCTCACCTACTTCATGGTCGTCTCTGGCATCGTCTACGACGTCATCGTCGAGCCCCCCGGCATCGGGTCCACCCAGGATCCATACACAGGCTCCGTACGACCCGTTGTTTTCATGTCCGGACGCGTCAACGGCCAGTACATCATCGAAGGACTCTCCTCTGGCTTCATGTTCGTTCTCGGTGGGATCGGAATTGTCCTATTGGATCTTGCTTTGGATCGCAACCGCGCGAAAAGCGTCAAGGTCTCATACGCCTCTGCCGGCGTCTTCTCCGTCCTGCTTGCTTATGTAATGAGTATGCTTTTCATTCGTATCAAGATCCCGGCTTATCTTAGATGAATTTTGTTCAATTTCGTATTAGATAGCTGGGTTTGAGCAATGCGTCTCCAGTTGCAGACATTCATAGATTTAACCTTGCCAAGTGCCCATACTTCCCCTTTGCTTTCTGTAGTTTGTTATACTCTTTGGATTACTTAAGTCTCGATGGTAATTCGACTTGATCTGATATCTATAGCCAAAGTAGAGTTTTTATTTTCACTGATTTTTAATGCATAATGATTATGCGTTTAAGACTCAGGCGTATAAGGGTAATGCAGTAATGCTATTCTATTGACCGTCTCATATCTTTCTTCCAAAGATAGGCTGCATTCTGATGCTGTGATGCTTGCTTCTGTGCCAATTGAGTATGAATGGTAGAAATAGTAGCTGGTTCCCAATTTTGTGTGCTTTCATGGCCAAATGTATATATTTTGATTAAGAGAGGTATCTTGTGGCCACTGCACTGTCAAACAACCTTCAGGGTAATATGAGCCTGGAGGAAATGCAGTTTTCAGGTAGGTTACCCATATAAAATGGCGATTAATATCTTTGGGCTGTCTGTTGTGGTGACTTTGTGTGGCCTTTACATGTTTCAAGCATTATTCATGGGTTGTCAGACTCAGACAGCCAATAGAGCTCTTGAGTGATGAAATCAAGCGTGACTATGTGAGAGACTGAATTATTATTTTTGATCAAGTTTATGGGGCAGATAATGAATACGCAAATTGGATTGTTAAGTCAATTCAGAAACTTCAAACTCAATTTTGCTTGTTTACTCAGCCTCCGTTGGGCTACAGACTGCTGATTGTTCTGGATAAACAGAGTAATTAGGAGACTTTGTCTTTTACTGTTTTCTGTTGTATGGTTGAACCATGGCCTTTTATTAGGGAGAAAAAAGCTTTAATCCATTGGGTAATGTTGTGATCGTGCTATTCGTCATGGATAATTATGTACCTGAAGCAATTCATGCTGTGCAGCTATACTCAAACAGCAATAACATATTTATTCATAAGTAACATATCTTGCCATTTATGGTGACTTTAGCGATGTGTTCTGTTGAATTCCTGGTTCCCAAGAACTGCTTCACACTAGTGGTTGATGTAGCTTTTCTGGAAATTTTTCATTCTCAAGTTAAAACATTCTTCTAGCCCTTTTTATGCATTCATGGAATGCTAGAATGTAGATTCATTGATCTGAACTCTGGTGTCCGTTCCTCTTTATTTTCCATTTTATTGAGTGATAGAGTCTAGATGCTTAACTTTGATCTGGGGGACAGTCAAATACAAAGACACAGGTTATTTCATGAATTCTCACCTAGTAAAACTTGTGTTACTTTCTTATGTAACCATGATATTATGCTAACTGATCATTTGAGACTGCTATATAAAGTGCGCAGTAGAAGTCAGAGTATTCTTTGCCTTTTAGGGATTTGCATGCTCTAGGACCTAGTTAATAATTTGGAAGTTACCAACCTTATGGGATCGGTGACTGGCATTTCTTTTGCATGTTACAGACAGATTATATAAAATATGTGGAATTACCCGCATGATCAAGAAAGATAAAAGCTGCATTGTTGTAGCGCTAGTATGATTATTAATTAAAATGATATAAATAGCCAGTGAACCATGTACTTGTGAATCTTTGAGCTATGAATCACATTTGCCCTAAGCACACTATTTGTTTTTCATTTCCCCTCCAGTTAAAAGAGAAAATTTTTTGTATAATTTGATCCGATTTTTTTTGTTGTTAATTAAACGGACTGAGCTAGAAGGTGCAAGGTCTGTCTGGCAACAGTGCAGAAGCATCGAATGAATTTACTTATTTATTTGACCTAAAAGCATAGAATTTAGGCCAAAATGCACATAACCCCCCTCAACTGTAGGTAAGTTGCATAAGACCCCCTCAACTTTAAAAGTCTAAATTCCACACCATCAACTTTCATATCTTGACCATGAGCCCCTTACCGTTAAAATGGCTGTTAAATCTAACGGAGTGAGTGCCATGCCAGTTTATTAGAAATTATGTGGCAAATGACATGTAATTTTGATTATCTTATTTATTTATTTTGGGTTAAAACTCAGAATTATAATAAAGGGTATTTTGGTAATTTAACCTATAATAATCCCTACCTTGAGGTTCTCTCTTGTTTTCTCAGCGTCTAATTCTGCAACTCGCGAGTCCTCTCCCTTCCCAACACTTGATTCATCGTCTAATCATCTTTATCGTTTCGAAAATCACCTTTATCATCTTCTTTCTTCTGGAACTTCTTTTATAATTTTGAACTTGCTTGTTTAATGATTGTGTTATCATCTCTTTTGGTCTTCCAAGTCCACCTTCTTGTCGGCACCGTTTCCTTCAATTTTCTGATCTTCTTACTCATTCCAAAAATTATCATTATGCTTCCTATCTCCGTCACATTATTCAGTTAAATTTGGAACCTTTATTTCAACAAGTAATATGCGAGTTACTAGTACGCACTTTTTTATGGAGGAAGAAGAAACCGAGAGAGAGAGAGAGAGAGAGAGAGATGATAGGCTCAGATTTGAAGAAAATTGAAATGCACTACTCCTTTGGAAATATATTTTTGATTGATTAAACTAGTCCTGTGCACTGTTAACACTTTTATATTTAGTGTTTGCATAACTTAAATGAATGAATAACCTTAGAGTTGTTGCTGATGTCTAATGCGCACTTGCCTATATCACTTATTGATTTTGCTGATGTTTAACCATGGACATATCGGATATTAGTTGCTAGCATCAATTGCTTGGTATATTTGGTTGCCTACAAAATCTAATTCCACTGTTATTATATCAGTTGGTAGCCTCAATTGATTGATATATTTATTTTATATAATTATATGATTATCAGACTCAAGATAGTCAGATATAGAGATAAGAAAATGATATTTTATGAGATCACGTCTTTCGTTTTTTTTGGTGACATGAGATCACGTCGTCTAGTTATAAATAAAATTAGTGCAAAACAATAAGGAACTGAGTTATGTTCTCCCACAACTGAAAACAAGAGTCAAAATACTAGTTCATGGGGTTGAGGACCACAATGGAGACTCCACTCTTATCAAGAATGGAAGTGAAATTATTTAAGGTCCTGATAGAGGTGTGGATGTTGACAATGCAAAATGCATCATCTACTTAAACATGCGGCATGATTATGTTTTTGTTACTCCACGCCTCCATAATTTTTGACACATAAAATCGGGTTTAAGACATATTTAATTTCTTAGAATAAACAAGAGAAAGTAAAGAAATAAATTATAGCAACCAACTAAAACAAATACAAACTGATCACATTAAACAAGAATAACATTTAGTTTTAAGCGTTTAACATAGACTAAAGAGAGTAGATGGATATTAATTAGTTTTCAACGTCTACTACTTCTTTTGTCCTTTGCTAAAAAGAAAAAGAAAAACGTAACATTCCCGATGAAATTTCAAACAATAGCTGGAACCATAAGTGGAACTTCTCTTATCCTGCAAATTTCGAACGAAAATATATTAATTCAAATGCAGAATATGAGCTAAAAGAATTAATGATATCAAAATTTGAAGTTACGCAGACACAATCATCCAAAACAACGTACTTAGCTTCATTCATTTATCTACTGAGACCTGGGAAGGTAGGGGTTGGCTGCCCTACATGGATGACAAGTAAATATTCATTACTCCAAATATATCATCACAGCACATATTAAAGTTAATAAAACAAATCAAAAAGTAATAAGTACAAAAACAAACCGTAGGAGTGTATGGCAAGGATGAGCTAGAGTCTTGAGTATTAGGATGTTGGCTATCCTGCATAAAGAACAAAAAAAGAAAAATTATTCTATGTAGTATAAGTATGAATTAAATTAAATCATATGATAATTAAAGAAAATACAATTATCTGTTCATTTTGGCTTGATGCAACGTTCTTCTTCTTCTTCTTCTTCTTGTATACTTTTTTGTTAGGATTAAGCGGAGCCTTACAACCCCGTGCATTATGACCCATTTTTCCGCAATTACCACACTTTGTGGTAGCCCTTTTTTTACTTATTTTTGATGGGTTTTGTTGCTCATCTGGAGCTTTCTTCCTTGCTTTTCTTGGTCTTCCAGGTGCCCTATTGTACTTTGGTGGCTGTAAGGGAACCACTGTTGATTGTGGCCAATGTTCTTCACTTGGCACTACACCGATTACTAAAGCATAAGCTCTCAAATGAATCTTTACTATAATAAGTAGAAACATAATCTTTAGGTACCCCTCTCATTCGATAAATTGCAGCCACAGCATGTCCACAAGGGATGCCAATCAAATCCCAAGCCTTACATGTACAAGTCATCATCTTAAGATCTACCACCTCCCTTTTCCATGGACTCTCTATCTCAAACATCCCATCACCAGTCATATAACATATATAATTCTTTGAGTCGCTCTTTGCTCTTTGAAGTTTATCCATGATTCTAGGACATATTGCATTACAAGATCTCTCCATGTCCTCTCTTTTTGCAACCATTCTCTTCATTAACATCCTTCTAATTATTTCACACATTGTGATGATTGGCTTGTCTCTTGCAATCAATATAAAAGAGTTGAATGTCTCTGCAATATTGCTTTGTACAATGTCACATTTAGCATTTATTGAGAATGCATGCTTATTCCAAAGCCTTGGATCATACTTATCTAACCAATTAGCAGCATTAGCGTCAAGTTCCTCTAGTCGTTTCATATGATAGTTGAATTCCTGTTTAGTTGTTGCCCTACATGCATTCCGGTGCTCATCTTTCAAATTCTTTCCCTTATACTTGAGCCTGAAATTGGCATATAAATGCCTAACACAAAACCTATGCTCACATTCCATCACCTTAAGCACCTCTTGCAACCCCTACAAATTAATTAAAAATATCTATAAATATTGAACAGTCAATCAATTATTATTAGTAAAAAATAGAAATACATTAAATATATCTATAAACAGTATACCTTTTGCATATCTGACATCACGACCCACCCTTTGTCTTGGCACGAGCTAATGTCCTCAAATAGCAAGGTCATAAACCAGTTCCAACTATCCTTACACTCAGATTCCACAATGGCATATGCTATAGGATACATGTTCTCATTTGCATCTTTTCCAACTGCAGATAGAAGGTGCCTTCCAAAACTACCTTTCAAGAAACAACCATCTACACATATGATTGGCCTACATGCCGTTATAAACCCATGTTTACATGTACCAAGACACATATATAATCGCTTAAATATAGACCCTTGTGCCTTGACCCTCATTGTACTTCCTAGGTTAAATTTCATTATTGCTCCACAATATGCATATATTTGGGAAAATTGTTCAGCATCACGACCCTCAAGCACTTCTAATGCCATTCTTTTTGCTCGATATGCTTGAAATTTTGAAATCTCAACATTATGATCCCTTCGCACTTGATTTGAAAATGCTGTTGCACTCCAATTTGGTTGGTCTCTAATGTGGTCAATGTACCTATTCGACAACCAACTTGTGCTCACCCATTTATTTTCTCTTTCCCAACCGCAATTGTGCTCCTTATGGTGGAATGACTTAATCTGAAATGCATCTCCAGTTTGAGTCTTTGATGCATGTATAATCCATCCGCAATTGTGCTTACACTTCACCCTAATTCTTGATGCTTCATTTTTTATATACTTGAACTCAATGCCATTCTCAATGGCATATTGCTTTAATGCTTGCCTATAAACTTTGAAGTTTGCAAACTTCATACCAACTTGAAGATTGATTGGTCTTTTAAAATCTGTCTTCTCATTAAACTCACTGTATGATTGTCTTTCTATTTGTTGGCCTTCATTATCTGATCCATTTGGACTTGCCAGCTCCTCACTATCACCATAATCAGACTGTACTTGCCCATTCCAATCACATCCATATTCATTGACTTCCATAGGTGTTGGGGTGACGTTATCAATATTTGGTCCACTTTGTGCATTTTCATTCCTTGTACCTCTACTTGTGGATTCCCCTAATTGATTATGACACAACCATTGATTAACTTCTACCTCTATTCCTCCTTCAAGATTTTCAAAAAATAAATTTGCCTGCTCATTATCACTATCAAAAAATTCACATCCATTCAAGTCAATTTGGGTGTTTAACTCCTCCTCTTCAACTCTTAGTCCCTCCTCAAATATCGGATCCTTTTGTCTGTTAACCATATTCTTTTTCATAGTTGTTCTTAACATCCCAATAACCTAACATAAATAAAAACATATATATTAAAGGAACATTTCATATATATCAAATAAAGATGAAAAAGATAATTTAATATAATGAAAAAATGAAAAATTGGGCATAAATTTCCTCTTGTGAGCATGAATGGCTGGTTCCGTATGAAAATTTTCCTTGTTTCTTTCTTCCTTTACCACTACTATCACATGCTTAATTTGATCTAATACATGTCATTTGTGTAGCATATTTACTATTTGATCTAACTGTATTTGTAACATTCTAGACGCACTCATCTTGCTGGAAAGTTTTAGATTCGTGTACTCATGTTATCCAAGTGTCACTCACGCACACATGCTTGCTCACATAAACTGAAAATCATGCAAATTCTTCAGCGAGTTTAATCAAATATAGATAAGATATAGGGCATGAGTTCTAAGGCAATCAAGGGGCATGAAAAATATTTTAAGGGGATCTATTTAATTATTTAATTGTATAACAGGTAAGATAGATTATTACTTTTCGAAACAGAACATCATAGTAAAAAATGATTGCAGACAATCCATTACCTAAAATTTAAGAGACAAGCACAGCCACATATCACTATCCCTTCTTTATAGTTTCATTGAAAAGAAAAATAGCCCAACAGGAATGAGAACACAGAAACAATCAAAGCATTGATGAAGGAAAAAATTACAAAGCTTGACTATAGCACAAAGAACCTCCAAAATGCATCCCAAATAATACCCAAATATAAGAAAGTGCTTACCAACGCTTCTGTTCAATGAATTCGCCTTGAAGATTGTTCTTTACAAAAGCGCCGTAGAGAATATGAGGTTGGGTTTTCTAGCAAACATTGTTTTGTAGGGGATTGATAGGAAAATATTCATATTTGCGCAATTGCCGTGAAGATTATGCATTTGTGCGAAAATCCCGGGATTATATAGATAATAAGGGAGCTATGCTGGAACGATGCTGTTTAAGCTGAATACTAAAGCTCCCCACGTTTTTCTCTATCGTCTTCCTCCATAGAAAAAGTACGTACTGGTAACTCCTATGCATCACTTTCACACAAGGCGGCTGATGTTTAATGCGTCCTTGGATATCACTTGTTAAAATAAAGGTTCTAAATTTAAATGAGTAATATGATGGAGATGGGAAGCATAACGATGATTTTTGAAATGAGTAAGAAGATCAGAAAATTGAAGGAAGCGATGCTGACAGGGAGGTGGACTTGGAAGACCAAAAGAGATGATAACACAATCATTAAACAAACAAGTTCAAAATTATAAAAAGAAGTTCCAGGAGAAAGAAGGTGATGAAGATAATTTTTGAAACGATGAAGATGATTGGACAATGAATCAAATGTTGGGAAGAGAGAGGATTTGCGACTTGCAGAAGTACAAGACGCTGAGAAAACAAGATAATGAGGGAACCTCAAGCTAGGGATTATTATAGGTTAAATTTCCAAAATGCCCTTTATTATAATTCTGAGTTTTGACCCAAAATAAATAAATAAGATAATCAAAATTACATGTCATTTGCCACATAATTTCGAATAAACTGGCATGGCACTCACTCCGTTAGATTTAACGGCAATTTTAACGGTAAGGGGCTCATGGTCAAGATATGAAAGTTGAGGGTGTGGAATTTAAACTTTTAAAGTTGAGGGGGTCTTATGCAACTCTATTAGAGTTGAGGGGTGTTATGTGCATTTTGGCCTAGAATTTAATTTAAAACTCCAAGAATGGCATATTGGAGTAATATGAATGAGTGGAAAGTGTTGAACAAATGATTGGCAGAATAATCTTCTTGTTTAGCCTGAGGGAGGAAACTGGATCTGAAATTACAATCATCTGGCTGTGTATGATCTGTGATATATAATTGTCTTTCGGATGTGCTTTGAGACACTAATAGCGTGTTTCTTGTAGCTGCTTGCTTTTGCATTCATGAAAACGGGCAGAATATGGAGGCGATACGCTCGCTTATCGGCATTACTTGCGTGAGTAGCATCAAAAAGTGGGAGTTAATTGATTAAATTTGTCTCAAATTGAACTTTTTTTTTTTTCAAACTTTATTCATTAAATAAGATTGTGAAGGAGCAAGAAAAATATAAAACGTTAAACATTAATTGCCGGGTTAAAATTGATAAGTATTAAATACCATTTAAGTTATTTATACTTTGGATCAAGTCGTTTTTGTATAAACGACTTACGTTATCATTGGTTAGGGGCGACTCTAAATGAGCCCATACGACTTTACTTTGAGTTTTGATTTTACCGAAGAAGTGTTTGGGGTGATCCAATTGCCTCCTGAGAGCCTTGCTTGTGTGTGTTAGCGCGCGACTCCAAAACATGAGATTTTCACCAACAAGTGCTCGTTCAAGTAAAAAAGAATTGGGCATCTTAAATATTATGTTCTAGGTTTGATTCTTAGACGGTGTGTATGAAAAAAACACTGTTAAGAAGGGTTCCTGTTATTGTGCTTGACAGTATCCCGATAGATTAACCGCTTACCGTTTGGATAGGAGGATCTTCTGGGCAACCAAAAAAAAAAAAACGAGATTTCAGTGATGAATGAGTAAATTACTAAACTGCATTTTAACAGAAATTTTTTTATAAAAAAAATTCCTGATTTAAATTTAGTAATTTTCAGCTTTTTGTTTCCACAGAATTTTCCTTATTATATTCTTGTATCATTAATCCACATGTCCATTCTTAGTAAACACACTAATCGGAGATGAACTATGATTGGAAATCTCAAAAAAAAAAAAAATTTATGCAAATCAAAATAAAACCCTTATTATATGCCTACTTCATATGTTGTAAAATCATTTTTAAATTCATGTTTTGGTTTATACCCAAATGCACCCAGAATCTTTTGCATTGAATCCTTCATCTCCAAAGCAGAACACTTGACATGATTTGCAAATTCATGTTCAAATAATTTTATTAGTAAAAATAAAAATTGCACTTTGAACTTCGGAACAAAATGACCTCTACAAATTTAGTTCATTGTACGCCCAAGAATTTTGCTCCGTAGCTCCGGTCATAATCATAGGAAATGTTTTAAAGTCCCAATGGGTCCTAAATTTAGGGCAAATTAAAGATATTGTAATTAGTTTTTTTCCCAAATATTCCCCTCCTTACTGCAGCAAATTGTTGGCATACGTACTCTTAATTCATAGACAAACTTTATTAATTTCATGAATTTTAATGAATGGCAGAATTGAAAAGTCACACATTTTTTTCTACGAGTCTTATCCTCTGCTCGATCTTTTTGTTTCGTTTTTATTTTTTGTCAGACTAAAGTTAATGTCCACCAAGTAATTAACACATCGGATGATCGGATGTTTTATTTTCTTACGCCATACTATCATTGTAAAAAATTTATGTTGAATAGACAACAAAATAACAATTCTCTCGTTAATATATGTAGTACTACCTCGATACTTAATATAAAAATGAGTTAACTAATTTGAGTAGATTAAAAAATTTGTTAAATTAATTATTTGTAATAAATAGGTATTGTCTTTTTTAAAATATCTTTGTTAATCATGTATATTAGCTATAACTATTATTTGATGAAATTTTTAACATGTGCAACTACGACAATGACTATTTTGAAAAAAATGATTAAATACAATAAATAAAGTAGATTTGAGTCTTATATTTAGGACTAAATTGAATGTCAAACTAATTCTTATATTTAGGACTAAGAATAAGAGATAGTATTATATGTGTTGGGGAGTAAAATAATGATTTTGCCGGAAATTGTTGAATTTCTTTACTAATGATTTTTTTTTAAAAAAAATCAAATGTACTTCCATTGCTAATCAAAGCTTATACAACGTTCAGAATTAACAAAGAAACAACTAGAGAAAAGCATAATAGCATTATAATATCTTACAATGCTTTTCAAATCAAAGGCACTTTCATTTTTTTTATCTTTTCTTTTCCGAATCCCTTCTTCATCCTCGCATAGAAAAAAATGGATGGTTCAAAGGTAATATCTTATAAAGTATTATTATGATATTATTTAGATATAAATAAATAAAATTAAATTGTAAACATTTAATCTGGAGAGTTCACACCGGTAATATAAAAATTAATTTATGAAATATTTTAATGATTATAAAACCTTACATCTAAATAAATCATTTTTTCATCTAAGGATGGAGAAGAGATTCTGAGAATAAAAGGAAAAAACGGATTCTAAGAGGATCACGATTCAAGATGGCAAGATTAGAGTCTATTTTGAAAGCCCCATCACAGTTAATTTTAAGCATGGGGAGGGAAATTCCAACCAGATTTCATTCCAGTATCTTCATGCAGAATCCTCACAGATTCTTTACTGATGACAGACTTGGTACCCTTCCAGACTTTTATTTTTTTCTTAAAAAAATATTTGCCTCTCAAGCTTCAAGTAATTAAGCATTTTTTTAATGATATTTTCTTGTATTTTATCTCGTTCTAATAACCAGTTCCCATCATCAAATTTTATTTCAGAAATATCTAGCAACTTTAATTTCAAAAGATTCTATATCCTCCCCTAAATCTGTGATTATTTTTAAAAATGTTAAATATCTCCCTTTCTATCACCAGTTCACTGCTCATGCTCAAGAGATAATATTGCGTGATTATAAGATTGATTGAAATAATAAAGTAAAATTATTTGTTACATTCACAAAACAAATAAAAATAACAGTATAAGTAAAATTTAAAAATATAATATAAAAACAATATAAGATTAAGAGTTGTTCACCATTCTTTTTGGCCAATGAAAATCAAGAGATTATAAATATACTAATTTATATATGTAAATATTAAAACCATGCTCTCATATCTTTTCATTCTGGAAAATCATATTATTCTCAAAAGATATATATATATATATATATATATATATATAAAATATCCCGCAGAACAAGAGCAAGAACAAGAACAAGAACAAGAACACCTTTCTGGGACTTTTGGTGAATCTAAGAGCAAGAACACCCACAAGATCAGAGAAATAGAATATGCTGAGCAGCAATCTTCCTGGAGATCTGATGATGGAGATCATGATGAGGCTTCCCATAAAATCATTACTTCGATTCAAATGTGTAGCCAAATCCTGGTACGCTCTAATCACTGACTCTTCTTTTATCACCAAACAGCTTGAATATTCCAATTCTATCACCAAAAATCGCTGCCTCAAGCTCATCTTCCAATCGCATCGTCCACGTAAACATCCACCCTGCATATCCCTCATTTCCAAAGATGAACCCTATGTGCTCCACCATATAGAATTGCCCCAAATCCTTCAGAATGATTTGGAACTGATATTCATTTACGATCAATGTCATGGGATCTTTTGTCTGCATTTAGTTTTTAAAGGACAAAATGAGGGTCAATTACTGTTGTGGAACATAGGATCAAAAGAGGTTAAGGTTGTTCCTGCTGCCTCACAGAGAAAACCCGAATACATAGATGATTCGATTATTGGATTTGGATTCGATCCCATCACAAAGGATTACAAGGTTGTTCGGTTTGTAAAAAAGCCTTGGGAGGAGGAGGAGGAGGAGGAAGAAGAACCTCCGGTGGAAGTGTACAATCTTAGTACTAATTCTTGGAGAACAATCGATGTTGATGTCCCTAATTATGAATTGGCTTATCCAAGCTGGAGTTCATATCTGAATGGGTTTTATCACTGGTTAGCTTTTGTCCGAAACGATGAGATTGATAATAATGCCCTTATTTTGAGCTTTGATTTTAACAAGGAAGTATTTAGGACGATCCAACTTGATCCTGGGATTAATCTTTCGTGTGTTGCAAATGTTGCTGTAGCCAATGATTGTCTTGCTTGTGTTACTGCATATAACTGGCCTCTCAAATTTGAGATTTGGGTGATGAATCAGTATGGTGTAGAAAGTAGTTGGACTAAACAGTTTGTAATCGGACCACTTCCTAAGCTTGAGTCGCTATTAGGGTTTTGGGGAGATAATTTTGTGATTCTTAATGATGATGATGATGGCCAATTAATTTCATATAATTTTCAAAATCAACAAAGACAGAGGTTACAGACCCGTGTTCCAAAACTGACCTGGGTATTTGATTACGTTGAAAGTTTGGTTCCTCTCACACAAAGGGGGGAACACAAGAAAGTATGATGGAAGTTTATATTTATTTTGTTTTCAATATTTATCTCCTCTTATTCTATCATTTTTATATTTTTCTAATACTAGCTAGGGGTATTCTCCGATTACCAATATGCACTGAATTCATTTATTTTGTTTCACCCATATAGAAAAGTTATATTGGATGGTTATATAGATAGTTAATTCATTCATTTTGTTTTGTTTTGATGATATTATAGATCTAATAACTAATATTTAAATTTAGATCTTTTATTTTTTTAAAATATATTATTCTTGTTTTTTAACCTCAAATCTTATCTTAATTTGTTTATACATTATGGCATTATGCAGACTTCAAATTCAACTCATCATGTGAACTGAGCAAGAAATTGATTATACTTTTTTGTTGTATTGTAACATGCAAAACTAGACATGGGGCTGCTTGTAGAGCCTCAAGCTTGGGTTATAGTAATACGAAAATTAATTATATAAAACAATCTATTTGTTATCCGTAAGCTTTTTTTACCTCCAAAAATTCTTTGAAGCTTTTATATCCTTTCGAAACTCTTCCTTAAGATATCTTGATTAAGAGGTTTTATTTTTATCACAAATTTAAGCTATTTTATCATGTGATTTCCAATACATGATGAGACACAAATTATCTTTATCGATTAAAAAGGCATACTATAAGTTAGGGAAAATCATAGCAAATGACCTAGAGGGAATGATATTTATTGGAGAGGATGTTAAAAATTTTAATTTTTAGAAGGACTACAAAGTAAAAACAAAAAATATAAATGTGGCAATGCTAAATTATTCCTAACTCACTCACTCCCCACATTCCCTCTAAAAATGAAACCTAATTCTCTAAGGGTATTTTCAACATGGTCAAAAATATCTTTATAGATTCAAATTAATTCAATCTCGGTCTATATTTATATAAGAAATGGTGCTTTGGTTAAGGAAAAAAATTGGCAAAAAATAAGGTCAAAAGGTGTTTGCTCCCTTTAGTCTAATCTCTTAATTTTGTTTGAACTTTTCATTCTTTGACTTCACTTTTCTCCCCCGAAATCAGCGATTATCTTTTCAAAATATTAAATCTCTTCCTTTTCATCGCTACTAATGCTCAATGAATAATATTGTGATTAATGATTAATTGAAATAAACAGGTGCAATTATTATTCATAATACGATAATAAAAAAATGAAAAAATGAATAAAAATAAAAATAAAAATATTAGAAATATAACATAATAACAATGTCGTCGCATTAAGAGTTGTTTTCTACATATGAAACGAAGTCTATACAAAAAGAGAGTTGTTTACGTACCCAAAAATGAATGACATTAAGATATTCTCTTTTGGCCAGCGAAAATTAAGAGATTATATTATGAATTAGATAGTGAACGTGCAAATTGGATTGTTCTTTTTTTGGGCATCAGTGCAAATTGGATTGTTAATATCTTTATTTTTAATATTACGTCGGTTACAATTTCTGAAATTTTATTATTACCTCAGATATTTTCTTGCCAGATACGATATTAGTTAAGAGATATCTAATGATGAAAGATAGTCTTTTATTGTCACCTTTTGTGAGGCATACCAATACCATAATTTTTAATATGAATAAAGTGAATTGTTTTATATTACAAAAATTGAAAAAAGAAATCAAAATTTGAAACAAAAATGAAAATAAATATTAGGAAAAAAACTAAAAATTAAAAAAAAAACATATTGTTCCTAAAACCATGGAGCCTTTCTCTTTTGTCTCCGAGCCGTGACCATGAGCAACATAATACCTTCACTGAACTTTCGCTGAATCCAAGAGAGAAGCTTCGCAGCAATAAGAAAATGCTGAGCAACAATCTTCCTGAAGATCTCACGATGGAGATCATGGCGAGGCTGCCTGTAAAATCCTTACTTCGATTCTTCAAATGTATATCCAAATCCTGGTACGCCCTAATCACTCACTTATCTTTTATTAACAAAATATTCTATAAAAAAAAAAAAGGCTGCCTCAAGCTTATGTTTCGATGGAGTCCCTTTGTGACGCCCTTCATGTGCTCTCATTTTCATGGAGAGGAAACTTGTGTGGTTCAAGACTTTGAATGGCCTTTCTATGAGAATGATTTATGCTGTGTTTGGATTTGGGTTTGATCCCATCACAAAAGATTACAAGATTGTTAGATTTCCAATCTGTAGTTGAAGTGTACAATCTAAGCACCAATTCCTGGAGAACAATAGATGTTGAAGGCCCCAGTTTGCATTCTATTATCCTTCATGGGAGTCTCATATGAATAGATCATATCTGAATGGGGCTCATCACTGGTTAGCTAATGACGATTGTAGTATTGATAATAAGCTTATTGTGAGCTTTGATTATAGCAAATAGGCTTTTGGGATTATCCAACTTCCTCCTGAGATTCCCATCTCTCGTTTCAGTAATATCCAACTTACTATTTTTGTTATCTGTTCCTCCAATGAGTTGAATGAGCATCGCATTGACATTTGGGTGATGAACGAGTACGGTATTGAAAGTAGCTGCATTAAGAAGTTTAAGATTGGATCATTGATTGTGACTGAGCATATTTTAGCATTTTGGGGAGATAATGAGATTCTTGTTGAATGTTCTAGTAAATTGATTTTATATAATCTTTGGAATCAACAAGGACGGAAGTTTCAAATCCATTGCGGAACGCCCATGAGCTTGATGATGATGGTGGATCGTGGAAAGTTTATTTCCCTTGGGAGGAAATGGAAACACAACAACGTATGACAAAAAATTTAATTTAATTTTTATGTCCATCCCATCCTCTTTTAATTGCTTTAGGGAGAATCCTACAAAAATATCTTTGAATTTTAAAATTTTAAATTAGTCTTATTTACTACACTTTAATAACAATTGACAATATTTAAAAAGCAAATGACAACAATTTCTTGTTATCATTTTTTATTTGTGACTTTGAAATTTCAGATGTATTATTTTGGGGATTTTCCTATTGTTTTAATTTGTTTTATTTAATCCATTGAATGCTGCTATTTTTTTGGGTCAAAATTATTGAATGCTTCTACTTTGTTTTGTCCATGTAGAAACTTCATATTGAATAGACAAAGATATTTTATCAGTTAGTTGTATTCGCCTCCCCCCCCCCCCAAAAAAAACTTTTACATATCTTAAATGCACCTTTTGTTACATATAATCAACATTGGTATTTCATATTTTCCATTAGACTTATATAATTTAAACTCTGATGATCTTGCTTGGCTATATTAATAATACTGGATATACTAATTAATTTATGTGTGAACTAAGTAAGAAACAAATTATATTTGCCTATATTTGAAATGGAGGAGGACAAAAGGCAGAAAGAGATATAATACATTTGGAGAAATTCTATTTCTATTGGAGGTTTCTTTACATATTACTCCTTCTATCTTAAATGTAAGACTCATGTTGTAGTGTAAATTCCAGTCCAACGAGGTTTTACATTTAGGATCGGAGGAGTATTTACCAACAATATATACACACACAAATAATAACAACTGAAATCTGTAAAAAAAACCTAAGTAAAGCTAAGCAATCTTTCAACACCTCCTCGTCCTCCGATCTCACTGACACCGGAAAAGAACAAGTCAGATGCGCCACTAAATCAAAGATATATTATAAAATCTACATAAAAGTTAAAGAGTGGTTTACCATTTTCTATTATTGGCATATGAAAATCAAGTGGTAATAAATGTAATAATTTACCAATAAATTAAACATCCTCCCGCATGTTTCACCACACATTAAAACGCTAAAAATCATGGAGCGTTTCTCTTTTCACTCGGAGCCATGCCCGTGTCTATGAGCAACATAATACATTCATCGAACTTTGGCTGAATCCGAGAGAAGCAAACAATACCCACAAGAGAAACATACCATCTCAGATATTTTGCAGCACCAAGAAAATGCTAAGCGCCTACCTTCCTGAAGATGTCATGAAGGACATCTTGGTGAGGCTGCCTTTAAAGTCCTTGCTTCGATTCAAATCTGTAGCCAAATCCTGGTACGCCCTAATGACCGACTCATCTTTTTGTACCAAGTGTCTTGAATGGTCCAATTCTATAAACAAAAATGGCTGCCTCAAGCTTATGTTCCAATTGAATCCCAATGTGGCACCCTCTATATCCTTGCTTTCTAATAGTAGTGAGGATCCCGGCGTGATCGTCCCAGACTTTGAATTGCCTTTCTATGAGAACGATTTAAAGTTGCGATGGATATCAGGCTATGGTCAGTGTAATGGGATTTTCTGCCTCCATCTCGATCTGTTAAGTGTTCAGGGCTATTTTGACCATGATGAACAACACCGCTTAATTTTGTGGAACCCTTTAACCAAAGAGGTAAAGGTTATTCCTACATCTGAACATGGGGCGTCTGATGCCATGTTTGGATTTGGGTTTGATCCTATCACGGCGGATTACAAGGTTGTTGGAATATTTCCCAACAAGTCTCAGAAAGAAGAACAAGAACAATCTGTAGTTCAAGTGTACAATCTCAGCACCAATTCTTGGAGAACAATAGATATTATTGATGCCCCAAGTTTTGAATTCGATCATCCTTTATGTGGGTCTTATATGAATAGATCTTATTTGAATGGGGCTTATCACTGGTTAACTAATGACTATTATAAGATTGATAAGCCTATTGTGACCTTTGATTTTAGTAAAGAGGTTTTTGGGAATATCGGATTTCCTATTGGGATTACCCTCGCTCCTTTCAATATTGCAGTAGTAGATAAGAGTCTTGCTATTATTGCTACATATTACGCAGGTAAGTTCCATGAGAGTGTTGAGATTTGGGTGATGAATGAGTATGGTATTGAGAGTAGTTGGACTAAGAAGTTTACGATTGGATCATTCCCAAACATGGTACATATCTTAGGATTTTGGAGAGATGATGAGATTCTTGTCGAATGCTCTGGCAAATTGATTTTACATAATCTTTGGAATCATCAGAGACGGAAGTTTCAAATCCATTTTGGAAGGATGAGCTTGATGATGATGGATTATGAGGAAAGTTTATTTCCTTTGGGAGCAAGGTGGAAACTAAAAGACATGTGACAATAATTTTTATTTTATTTTTATGTCCACTTATCCCCATCCACTTTAATTAACTGTTTTATTTTTTTATTTAATCCGTTGAATAATGCTGTTATTTTGTTTTGCTAATATAGAAACTTTATATTGAATAAACAATAATATTCCATCCATTAGTTGTATACTTGTATAATGTATTCCCCTTTTCTTTTTCTTTTTTTTTTCTTTTCTACATATCTTAAATAGACCTTTTTTTTTATGATATTAGACCTTTTGTTACACATAATTAACATTAGTACTTGTGGTGCCATTATATTTATATAATTTAAACTCTGACGATTTGTCTTGCTATATTAATACTGGATATACTAATATTTAACTTTTTATATTCTTTTATTTTTTTTAAAAATTGCGTAATTTTTTAATTTTCGGGACATATGTAACCTTTATTTAACATATATAATAAATTAAAGTATACTTCCAAATTTTACTAAAATTATATAACTTTTATTTTTAAATTTTTAAATAAAGTTTGCGTTGATTTTGAAAATAAAATTCTATTTTGTCATAAGTGAACAACGCTCGGGAATAACTTATAATCAGATATTTACACAAGTTGTAAAATTGGAGGGAAATTTGGTTTAATCCATGAAATTTAAAAATTCACATTAATTTTAAAAATAGAATAGGGAATGTGGGAAAAAATGTAAGAGCAGGAATTTCTATTTATATATTTATATTTTAATATTCGGTTCTTTCCAATAATTACAATTTGTATGGTCCTCTCTAATAAATATTATTCTCTCTATTTCTTTTTCTCTAATTTTCCCTAGTAAAAATTGCAATCAAATTTAAAGATTAAAATTATTATTAAATTTAAAAATGGGATTATAAATTCATTTAAAATTACAAGTTTTAAAAATATATTAATAAAAATAATTTTAATTTCTAAATAATGACATTATTAAAAAATTTTGCATATAATTTCCTGAAACATGATGAAGAAGGTGCATAAATTCAAGGTGGGACGATTTTCAATGGAAGAAGGCAATGATGTGGATGCTCGCATTATTTTACTTTAAATTATATCCTATTAATATACTGTTTGTGGTTTTAGATACTCTTTATTCTACCAATTTAATTTGTTCATAAAGGATAGCGGATTTCCCAGATTTGAAGCTCTCTTTGTTGTTCATTAATGTTTTTTTACCTTTTTATTTTTATTTTTTTGGTTTTTTATGAGTGACATTTTGATATTTTACTTGTAAAAAAAATACATTTTTTAAATTTAGATATAATTTGTTTAAAAATTGTAAAAAATTGAAAATCGTATAAGTTTTTACAAATAAAATATCAAAATATTACTTATTATAGAATATAATGATAAAAAAACCAATAAAATATTTGAGAAGTAGAAAATATTAAACGCCAGCAAAAGAGGAGTAGTTGACACCTCAAATCGAAGACAAAAAACAGCTAGAATCTACATGAAATCCACGAGAAGGCTGAAAGACCGAGTAATAATGTTTTAAAACCAATTAGAAGTGTTTGCATTAATTTTTTAAAAATGATTTCACAGTATACAAAATATAGGTGTGTGAGATGAGCTTTGTTTTGCATAAAAAAAATTTTTTTTTGCACTTACCAATTCGAAATTTGAACTCGTTAACCGTGAATATTTTATTTTCCAAATATAATTATGATTTTCCAAATGAAAAAAAAGGGTGAAAAATCACTTTCCAACATAATCGTGTGGAAAATATTTTTCCCCCCCTTGAAAAAACTTTTCTCATCCACACCTGGATCCTGAATATTGACCCATCGTCCTTCCGAATCCCACCATTGCCGTCGTCCGCTACCCACCGTCCGCCATGGAAAACCGGCCTTACCTTCAATGGAGCTCTGCCATCGTGCCAATACAAAACATTTTGAAAACGAAAATTATTTATTTTAAAGTTATAGTTTCTAATATGTTACTTTAAATTATTTTAAACTTGATATTTATTATTTTAAAGCCTTAAAAATATCTTCATTGTAATTATTATACATTAATTACTGATTTTTCAGTGTTAACTTATTTAATATTTAATATTGTTAATAATTACAAAGCTTTTGACCATATTTTAAAAGTTAGAGAATTACTATAAAACAAAATAAAACTAAAAAGTGTAAAATCATTTATACAGAAATAAAGGATCAAAACATATATTCCTTCGCATATAAGTTTAACTTTTCCCCCTGGCATATATTCTTAGAACCTTTTGTAACATTTTTGAAACTATTCCTTGGAAATCTCTTGATTTTTTTTCTTGGTGGGCAAAATGAATCTATTGATTATTAATATTTCGTTAGGTACAATTTCTGAAAATTTATTATTATCTCAAATATTTTTTATCAGATACGATGCGATAATAATTCAGAGATATCGAGTGATCAGAGATTGTATTCTATCGTTACCTCTATTGAGGCAAACCACAATTAAAATTATGAATAAATTGAATTTTTTGTTATATTACAAAAATTCAAAAATGAAAATAAAATTTGAAATAAAAAACCAAATTAAATATTGGGACGAAAGTACAGTTAAAAATAATAAACATTAAAGATAATTATGAAAATAATACACAAATTAAGAGTTTTTACCACTTTCTTTTGGCAGATGAAAATCAAGAGATTATAATTATAAATATAATAATTTACTAATAAACATTCCTCCCATATCAGCAACACAACACATTTTATTATTCCTTGATCTTTCTCTGAATCCAAGAGAAGTAATACCCATAAGAGAGAAACAGACGTTCTTAGATGCTTTGTAGCGATAAGAAAATGCTTAGCGCCAATCTTCCTGAAGATCTCATGACGGAGATCATGGCGAGGCTACCTGTAAAATCCTTGCTTCGGTTCAAATGTGTAGCCAAATCCTGGCACGCCCTAATCACTGACCCATCTTTTATTAACAAACATCTTGAACAGTCCTATACTATCAGCAAAAATCGCTGCTTCAAGCTCATGTTCCAATCGAATCCCTATACGCCGCCCTCCATTTCCATGCTTTCTAATAGAGAGGAACCTCGTTTAGTCCAAGACTTTGAATTTCCTTTCTCTGAGAAAGATTTAAATTTGCGATGGATATCAGTTTGTGGTCAATGTGATGGGATTTTCTGTCTCCGTCTCTATCTCTATCGGTCATCTAGATCAAACGATGATGAACAGCGCCGTTTAATTTTGTGGAATCCTGCAACTAAAGAGGTAAAGGTTATTCCAGCCTCTCAGCATCAATCCAAAATTAAGGGCGCTTTTGATGCTGTGTTTGGATTTGGGTTTGATCCCATCACAAAGGATTACAAGATTGTTGGATTTCCAAACAGGCCCCAAGAACAATCTGCTGCAGTTGAAGTGTACAATCTCAGCACGAATTCCTGGAGAACAATAGATGTCGTCGCCCCAAGTTTTGAATTCTATTCTTCTTCTTATATGAATAGATCTTATTTGAATGGGGCTCATCACTGGTTAGCTAATGATGATTATAATATCGATAAGCTTATTGTGAGCTTTGAATATAGTAAAGAGGTTTTTGGGATTATCCAATTACCTCCAGGGGCCAATCTCTCTCGTTTTAGTAATGTTCTCTCAATAGTAGATGGGAGTCTTGCTATTTTTGCTAACTATTTCTCCTATGCGTTGAACGAGCATCATGTTGAGATTTGGGTCATGAACGAGTATGGTATTGAGAGTAGTTGGACTAAGAAGTTTAAGATTGGATCGTTGATGGCGATTGAGAATATTTTAGGAGTCTGGGGAGATAATGAGATTTTCGTTGAATGTGCTGGTAAATTGATTTTGTATAATCCTTGGAACCAACAAGGACGGAAGTTTCAAATCCATTTCGGAACGACCATGAGCCTGATGATGATGGTGGATTATGTGGAAAGTTTACTTCCTTTGGGAGCAAGGGTAAACACAACAAAGTATGACAAAAGATTTCTTTTTAATTTTATGCCCATGCCATCCTCTTTGATTAATTGCTTTAATTTTTTTCATTAATTTAATCCATTGAATGCGGTTATTTTGTTTTGCCAGCGTAGAAAGTTCATATCAAATAACGTTTCATCAATTTTATTCGCCTTTTCTTTTTTATTTGTTTCTTTTTTGACATATCTTAAATAGACCTTTCGTTACACATATAATTAACGTTATTGGTATTTGTGGTGCCTTTAGATCGATTTATATAATCTAAACCCGGACGATTTTGTTTTGCTGTATTAATACTGGATATACTGATTGATCATATGTGAGCTAAGAGAGAAAACAAATTGTATATGCCTATCTTTGAAAAGGAGGAGGACAAAAAGCAGAAAGAGATATAAAACAAATTTCTTATTCCATTGAAACCACCAAACATAGAAAACTAACTAGGCATTCCTTTGTCGGAATTTTCATTATTTTTTTAACTTCCCAGATTTTTTTTAATTGTTAGATTCTACTTAAAAATTTTCATGGGGCCAAAAATGCTGCAGTTTTAAATTTTTTATGATTTTTAAAAAAAATGTATCTAAATTAAAAAGAAATTGGACAATGTGATAATATTTTTTCTTTGAAAAATCATAAAATTAAAAATTCAAAACTGCAGCATTTTTGGCCTATAAAATATTAGAAGCTCACTCATTTTATGCAGAATGTAATTTTTCTCATCCCCACCCAAATCCTTGAGACTGACCTATCGTCCTCCCAAGACTCCCCATTGCCGTCGTCCACCACCCACTGTCTGCCATCGAAAATCCGCGCTACCACCCACCGTCCACTATGTTCATGTTGTAATTTTAAGCATTTAAATAAAATATTCTGAAAATAAAACTTCTTTATTTTTAATGTTATAATTTTTAATACGTTACATTAAATTATTTTTAACTTGATATTTATTATTGAGCCTTAAAAATATCTTAACTGTGATTATTATATTAAATACTATTTTTTTGCATTGAAATTAAATTATCATTTTTAAATCAATTTACTTATTAATAACTAGGAAGCTTTTGAATATATTTCAAAGTTAGAGAATTGCTGTATAACAAAATAAAATTAAACAAATAAAATAATTCATACTAAAATAAAGGATCAAAAGAATCTACCTTCACATATAAGTTTAATTTTTCCCATGTATTTGTGTACATTCCTAGAATCTTTTGTAACATTTTTGAAACTATTCCTTGAAATCTCTTTATTTTGTTTTGAATTTGGTTTTTTAATTAATTATTCATGATTTTGTTTACAAATAGCTTATACTTTTTTGGTTTGTTTCTTGTTTATTAATACATATTTCATCTTATATGAATATTTAATGCTTAGCTTGAGAGATAACATCATCTGATTAGAGATGGATTGAAATAATAAAGTGAAATTATTTGTTACATTGCAAAAATTAAAAAATGAAAATAAAATTAAGGGATGTTTGAGAGGGACGTTGACAAGGTTTATGATATATGTTTATTGTTGATTTAACAATAAACGTATATCGTAAAACTACACACACACACTACTCCTCCCGGTCCTTAATATAGGATCTAATTATTGAGTTAGTTTTAATCCTAAATATAAGACCTATTTCTTATATTTATCAATTTTTTTCTAAATTATCCTATGGATACTCCTCAACCATAATCAAGTAGAAGAGGAAGATGGGATATTAAGGAAGATGATTATGGTATTTTAGAAAAAACATATCATTTTTTGGTAATTAACTAACTCACCTAACTTTCTTAATTTAATAAAATTAGTTAAATAGGTCTTATATTAAAGATTGGAAAAGTACTATTTTGTCTTTCTAGAAAATATCATTCTTAAATATATCTTTTTGCCCCAAATCAAAACCCTAAATCAACCGCACACCTTGGATCTTTGCCGACTACAAAAACCCCAGGAAAACGAGAAAGTCGCAGGAAATGTTGAGCATCAACAACACCGACAACAGAAACAGACAACCTCAGATGTTTTCAAGCAACGAGAAAACGCTTAGCGGTAATCTTCCCGAAGATCTCATGATGAACATCATGGTGAGGCGGCCTCTGAAATCCTTGCTTCTATTCAAATTTGTAGCCAAATCCTGGTACGCTCTAATCACTGACTCTTCTTTTATCACCAAACATCTCGAATGGTCTAATTTTGCCACCAAAAATCGCTGTCTCAAGCTTATCTTCCAATTGCATCAACCATTTGAGCTGCCGCCCAGCATATCTCTGATTTCCAAAGACGAAACCCATGTGCTCCACCTTATAGAATTGCCATTGATCACTAATTAAGAATGACTCGGAATTGATTATATTCATTTCCGATCAATGTAATGGGATCTTCTGTCTCTGTGGATTCTTTAAAGGACATGATAAAAAATCTAATATCAGTGATGAGGGTCTATTAATCTTGTGGAACCCAGCAACGAAAGATGTGAAAGTTATTCCTGCCCCTCAGAAAGAACCCGAACACCCAAGTGATTCGAGGATTGGATTTGGGTTCCATCCCATCACAAAGGATTACAAGGTTGTTCGGTTGTTAAACTGGCCTTGGGAAGAAGGAAGACGAAGACGAAGAAGAAGAAGAAATTCTAGTTGAAGTGTACAATCTTAGTAACAATTCTTGGAGAACAATGAGCGTTGATATCCCAAATTATGTATTGTCTTGTCCAAGTTGGAGTTCATGTTTGAATGGATTTATCACTGGTTAGGATATGTCCGAAGTAATGAGATTGGTAAAACCCATATTTTGAGCTTTGATTTTAGCAAAGAGATGTTTGGTGTGATCCAATTGCCTCCTGAGTTTCCTCTGCAGTACAAATTATTTCTGCAATGGACCAAAGCCTTGCTTGTGTGTCACTATAGAATTGAAAAAAATGAGTTCTTGATATATAATGAATGAGTATGGTGTTGAAAGTAGTTGGACTAAAAATTTTAAGATTGAAGCACTCCCTACGCCAGGGTCCATTTTATTAGGGTTTTGGGGAGATAACGAGATTGTTGCTCACGAAAATGATGATCAATTTATTTCATATAATCCACAAAATCAACATGTAGAGAAGCTTCAAATGCTCGATCCAGGATTTACTTTCATGTACGACTATGTAGAAAGTTTGGTTCCACTGAAGATTTATGTTTGATTTTTATGATCAATTTATTGAATGCATTTATCTTGTTAATTATGGCCATTCATGTAGAGAATTTACATTGAATAGATTATAAGATTTGTTCAAATATGAACTGGCGATGCTTGTATCTTTATATCATTAATCCACATTTCCATTATTCGTAAGAGCAGTACACTATCTGCAAATTCATGTTCAAAAAATTAATTAGTTAGCAAATTGCAATTTGAACCTCAGAATTAACGACAGCCTCTACAAATGCTTCAAAAGCCTCTCAACACTCATGACGTACAATTGCAAGAATAATCTCCTGCCTATTCAATAACGTGTCCCAATCATTAGATTTTTTGTTCTCACCCTGTGCTCGTCACCTTTTGATCAAAACCCTAAATACTTGGCACGTCACTCTATCCTCTTGCAGACGTGAGTATCATCAGCCTATCAACCATACTGCATGCCTTCAATCTTTCTCTGAATCCAAGACGAACACCAATGTTAACGCCCACAAAAGAAACAGACAATCTCAGATTAAGAAAATGCTGAGTAACAATCTTCATGAGGATCTTATGATGAAGATCATAGTGATGCTGCCTGTAAAATGTTTGTTTCGATTCAAATGTGCAGCCAAATCCTGAGATGCTCTAATCACTGACCCTTCTTTTATTAACAAACACCTTGAATGGTCCAATTCTATCGCCAAGAATCGCCGCCTCAACCTTATCTTCGATGTGCACAATTTCAATCTTCATTGGCCTTGCATATCCCTGATTTCTAAAGACGAACCTTATCTTATGCTTCACGGTATAGAACGTCTCCCTAATAAGAACTAATACCTTTTGTTCTTAATATAAGAGCTAGTTTGACTTTTAATTTGGTCCTAGATATAATATCTCAATCCACTTTGTCTCTCGCATTTATCTTCTCTTTTTTTTTTGGAGTAGTTCTTGTAGTAGGTACACATATTAAAGATTCCATCAAATGCTAATTAATTAGATCTTATATTAAGGACTGGAAGTAATATTTTTTTTTTCTTTCAATGGTCAATGTAATGGCATCTTTTGTCTCTTTGCGGTCAATCGAGGAGATCATCCGAATAAGGGCCGCTTAATTCTTTGGAACCTAACAACAAAAGAGCATAAACTTGTTCCGGAGTCTAAAAGGCAACCTAGAAAAGACATATTTGGTTTTGGGTTTGATCACATTACAAAGGGTTACAAGGTTGCTCGAGTTTCCAATAGGCTTTGGCCGAAAGGAGAACAACGTAAAGTTGAGGCACATTAGTACTAATTCTTGGAGAATAATAGATGTTGTTGTCCCAAATTTTGAAATATGTTATTCATTTTCGTGGTGTTATTTGAATGAAGTTTCTCATTGGTTAGTTTTTGGCTACAATGAGATCGCAAATAGATTTATTTTGAGCTTCGATTTTTGCAAATAAATGTTTAATTAATGAGAATCTTGCTATGTTTACATATAGTCTTGGGAAATTTAAGATTTGGGTTGATGAATGAGTACGATATTGAGAGTAGTTGGACTAATAATAAGTTTGAGATTGGACCAACCCTTAAGCTCTGGTCTATCGATCTCAGGATCTTGGGGGGATAATGAGATTCTTGCTAAAGAAGATGATGGTCAATTGATTTCGTATAATCTTCAAAATCAGCACATACATAGGTTTCAAACCCCTATACTAACATTTGCTTATGTTGCCGACTATGTGTAAAGTTTGGTTCCTTTGGTAGGAAAGAGAAAACGCAAGCACAACAAAATATGATGATCAAGATGTATATCTATTTTATGCTTTTCCTAATTTTTGTAATTTTTTTAATTAATTCAACCATTCAATACATTTATTTTGTTTTGCCAACGCAGACAATATTTATTTTGAAGAGAGATCATAAGGTTTGATCAATTGATTGGTATTGGCCTTTTTTTCCCCTTAATTCCTAGAATTCTTAAATGCACACCTTATATTACATTATCAAAATTTTGCTATTGAACAATGTCATTAACTTTATACTACTTTTAATTCTAAATATAAGATTTCAATTTATTTTGTTTCTCAAATCTAGAACTTCTTCTCCAAAATATCCCTATAGTAAGAGAGTTCATATCAAAGAGTAGTTATAATATCCGATTAAAAATGGTATTCTAGAAAATCCAACTCACATTTATTACATGATTATCTTAATTAATTTTCTTGATATATACAAATTAGCTATCTAACTCTTCTATTAAAGACCAGAAATAATATCATTTTAACACATACATATTCAACGTCACCTTCATTACATACATCGACGTAGGTCCTATCAATCCATGAAAAATATACAGGACCATACACGCGCACACATACACACACACATGTAAGTAGTTATGTTGTTGACGCAGTCCTACGGGAACTTTGAAAAAACACCAAGAAGAAAAGCAAGAACTAGAGAGGCTTATATAGTATTTTACAGAACCCTCATCATCATTCTCGCCAAGACTCTAACGTAAAACCAGACCTAACTTATCAACCTGCAAAAAAAAGTCTACTGCAAAATCTACACAAGCTAGGGATTCACAATATTATTGCCGGTGAATTTACACAGAACGACGAGGTGACGAAAAGAGACGCTTTGGAGAGAACATGGCCATTAAACTTGGTGATCCAAGACCCTCCATTGTACGATACTGAGGTCCAAGAGCATAATTGTTTGTAGGTCCATTCCTCGTCCATCGTCCGTTTATGGTTCCACATCTAACTAACTTACCAACCCAAGATCTCTTCTTTGGACTTTCATGCGCTGAGTTCAACCTGTGACACATATATTCCTTCACTTTATCAACCCCCTGCTCCACCACCTCCTTCGGCGGCGACGTCAGTGGGTTCCCTTCGACGCTTAGCTTCTCTAACTTCTTGAGGCAGCCGATGGATTCCGGCAAGGATTTTATTCTGTTGTAGCTGACGTCAAGTTCTACGAGGGACAAGAGGAGCCCTACTGAGTAAGGTAGGGTTTCTAGGTATTGGAAGTTTTGGCTCACATTTAAGATTTTGAGGTTGATGAGATTCTCAAGGTCCTCCGGCAGCGACCGGAGGCAGTTGAGGCGAACGTCGAGAACACTGAGTTCGGTGAGGTGAGAGGTGGAGTGAGGAAGGAACACAAGCTTGTTGGAGTTCACTGATAGCTTCTTGAGGTTGATGAGCTCAAACCCTATGGTTTCCGGAAGCTTGGTAAGCTTGTTGAAGTTGGCATTCAGTTCTTCTAATGCTCTGATGAAGATAAATCAAAACATATAAAGTGGTTAGAATAATTAATTTTTTTAATCCTTGATGTAACAACTAGAATAAAATAGAAAGAATCAATAGAAGATAAAAATATATACAATATAATATTATTGCTTTCATTTAGCTCTCTCTCTCTCTCTCTATATAGCTTGCCCATAAAGTATAAAGGCATGAGTATTAATTTATTACATTGCTTGCTAAACGGTAACTCTGCTAACGGTAGAATATTCTTCCTCAATTTTTTTTTTAATTTTTTAATTTTGCTGCTGAAGCTTCGCGAAAGCATTTTCTATGATATTTTCTTCTATTTCATTTGTTCTTCAACAACGTGTCCCCACTCCCCAATTTTATCGCAGAAATATCTATCAAGCTTTCAATTTCAAAAGATTCTTAAATCTTTCCCAACCTCATCTCTCTGTTCAGCTGAAGAAATTTATATGTATTTTTTTTGGTATATTAAAATTAAGTAGGCACAATAATTGAACAAGAAGCAGATGGGATAAATTAAATATGCGAGGCATAATTTTCAGTCAAAACTATTTTGATGGGTATAGTAATTCATTGTTACGTATGCTATAATCTGGCGGGGCAATATAATAATTAATTAAATTAATTAGCTTGATGGAAATGAAAACGACTTGCTTTTAGGCCATAAGCAAAGAGCTATCATTTCACAAATAAAATATTTAGCAATTAATCACTTATATGGCTTTCGAATCTAGTCGTGATGTTAATTTGATGGATTTCGTGGGTCTGGAGAAAACACAATCGGCCAGCCACACAATATAAAGTAGCAATATATATATATATATATATATATCTTAGTCCAATAATAATTATCATCACTAAATAATATTGGACACAACATCATTTAAGTGTTTCATACTGTTTCCCCCACTTTTGGTTTTATTGGATTGCAACGTAAGCCCCACTTTCAATAGGATCAAGAAATCTTAGCCTAGATACTAAAAAGTAACAATCATGATGACATACATTCCCTTTTCTTCTAGATCATAGCTAGTATTTCTTTTTTGTCCATATATAGTGATTAACAAATTTATTAATTTTAATTAGAAAACAACCTAAACCTACAAAATTTGAGTGAATTAGGTTTCAAGTGAAAGAAACACATGGAAAGATACTTACAAATTAGTATTTGTTCAAAAAAACCGCCTCAATATATGGAATATATAAAGGTTCGATAATCTTTACCAATTCCACTTAACCTCTTTTGAAACAGCCTTAACTTTTTCTGTTAAAAAAGTATGTATGCTAAACCACAACCCCCCCCAAAAAAAAAAAAAAACCATACAGTTTTATCATTTGTTTTGTCCAACAGGTACATAATTTTGATCATTATTCAAATCACGTCTAAATGATCTAAGAAGAAAGTTAGTGAGTTATCCTTAAAAGAGGAGTTATTTAATGAAAACAGACAATACTTGAATTTTAAGTGTGATAAATTAATTATATTAAAATGTATCAAATATTATATGATAATCACAGAGAGAGAGAGAGAGAGAGAGAGAGGGAGAGAGAGAGAGTACCTGCAATTCTCAATGGTCTTAGGTAAGGAATCGAGGAGGTTGCCGGAGACGTCCAAGACCTTAAGCTTAGAGAGGCAGCCAATAGAGTTAGGAAGCGAGGTGAGTTGATTCGAGTGAACGTCCAACACCGCCACGTTCAGTAATCTCGCCGTTAACGACTCCGGTATGCTCTGTCGTATATATACTTTCATCATTATTATTACTATTATTATATACTCCTCCGGTCCTAAATATAAGACCTATTTTGTATTATAAATTACAATACAAAATGAGTCTTATGTTTAGAACCAGGAAAATTATAATAACAGCCTAACACTAATCATGAGTATTATTTATAACTATATTAATACCACAAAATATATACCTAATACATACAAAGTGAGAGTAAGGAAACTTATTTGGCTCTTCAAGTTCACGAAAGGTCGAGATATTCATTTCACTTGTTGTAGTTAACTTTTTTATGTGCACATGCATGATTTTCTTGCCATAACTAGATGTGGTACTCTGTATTGAAATTTGAAAGACTCTCGTTTATGATATATGAAAAGTGTGGCTTGTTAATTTTTATAGATTTTATGTTATACTATCTCTGCTTTTTAATATAAGAACTAGTTGATTAATTTGAGTAGATTAAAAAATATTATTAAGTGAATTATTTGTAACAAATATGAGTTAAAATCACTAAAATAGCCTTGCTAATTATGTATATTAGTTAGAACTACTACTAACTGATGAAATATTTAGCATGCGTAACAACTACAAAAACTAGTTTGAAAAAAAAAAGATAAATATGAGAGACAAAGTAGATTGGATCTTATATCTAATACCAAATTAAAAGTTAAACTATCTTTTACATTAAGAATCGGGTAATATATATATATATATATATAAAATGTGCCACAAAATATCCAAATACAACCATGGAGAGGAAAATCTAGAGATTTCTAATAGAGTAGGACGAAAGTCCACCAAATAAAACAAAGTTTTTTCTTCACAAAAAAACAAAGCAAAACAGATCGAAAAGTTATGTTTGATACTTGTTAATTCTTATCATACGGATAATGATTCTTTAAAAAAAAAAAAAAGTTATACTAGCTAGAAATGAATAATCATAACATGATGTAGTTATCAACAGATATTAACGTTGCTACTAACAAACGCATCGAAAATATATTAAAAAAGTCACTAACTTTCACAAAACATGACAAACAGTCAGCAATATGTGATGTACGCAAAATGGTGTTTTCGTTAAAAAACGGGATGTGAAGGACAAATAAGTCTTTTTCTTTTCTTTTTTAATTTCTTTTTTTCCTATGAGTCTATAAAGATGATCTAATGATAACCAGTTTTCAGCATCTTCCATCAAAAGTGTGTCCTTTTTCTCTTGGTTATTCATATGATGATGCCTTTTTTTGACATAAATTAAGAATATAAAAAAGTTTATGTCAACAGTGGATTGCGTATATGTGTAAATATAGAAACAAGATTAGATAATATTGCATACGTTAGAGTTTATCAAAATAGTTATATATAATAAAATAAAAACACACTTGTAGATAATCGAAAGCAACTCCTGATAAGAAGTTTGCAGTAGAAAGATAAGCGCGTTGGTTGTATTTAACCGGGGATGAAAACTAATCTCAACCTTTATATAATATAAAATTCATGGCAATTTTTATTATCCATAGTTCTTGATTATTTGTTAATTTTCCTAGTGTCTACAAGCTGTTGGCCAAAAATGAAAACTGACAATAAGGATAATTATTTAATAATCTTTCTTCAAAGCTGTAAAATTAAACCATCGGTGAATGAAAGTTTATCCTTTAATGAAATGCTATAATTACAAGAAAAGATGTTATGTATAAGTATCATCTAGTTAGTTAAACTGATTTTATATATGAAATAATTGGCTAAATTAATAATCATTGGTTCTTCTTTGTATGAATTATTAAAAGTATGTATATTTAATTCCCTCAACATTTATGTATTATAAAGAAGAAGGTAACTCGAACCCCATTTCCTTCTTAAATAAAACTAATCAATTAGCAAACCAGATCCAGAAACAACGTTTCAAAGAAACACAGAATTATGATCATATACACAACACCAGAAGATCGAAATGGAGACATGGATCTCTATTTAAAACAAAATTATATATATATGATCGAGAGAAATATAGGTACCTGAAGATTGTTGTTGGAGAGGTGCAAGTTGGTGATGGTGGCTAGATTAAGAGAAGGATTAGGCAGAGAGTCTAAGGACAAGCCACTGAGATCGACAATCTCAAGCTTTTCTTGTTGTTGCAGTGCCGCCGCCGTGGTCCCTCTGTTTGATTTCCTGTTCTTCTTCGTCTTCTTCATCAGATCCATCCCCGCCATTAATGGCTGATCATGAAGATGATTATTATTAAGAAGACGATCGACTCCTTGCTTTTCAAACATCATCTTTTCTGATTGTCCGAGGACGATATCTATCTATCTATATATAGAATTAATACTGCACTGCTTTATTTGATCTTCTCTTGACAGAGATTTGACCACTGATGAATATACCAGACCAGAGAATATAGAGAGAAAGATCCAGAGAGAGAGAGACCTGAGAGATTGATCGAGAACTTTGAAGTTTGAAGGTGGAAGAAAGAGAGAGAGGTCCGTGTTTTTATAATGAGGCACAGAGAGAGAGAGAGAGGACGTACGGAAGAGAAGAGAGAGAAAGGGGAAGGTACAACATGTGCGGTTAGGTTTCATAAAGAAAAGTACAACCACCGTATATTCTGGTGGGCGTGCTGCCCCATTTGCCATCTTAAGTCAACCCTCCATTTCCTTTGAAAACTTAAATTAATTAAAATTAAATTAAATTTAGTTTTTTAGTTTATTATTATATATATGATGGCGCGGGTGGCGCGGTTGCGGCGCCTTTAGACATTACTCTCGCGGTCCCTTTTTTATAAGAAGTATTTTCTCTGGTGATATAGGCAATAAATTTACTTTGTCTGAAATTTTAAATCAGTATTTTTTATTAAATATATGTCACTTATTAAGATTGTCAAACTTGCTAGTTTAAGCAAATTTAGATAGTAAACTCACAAGAGTTTACCAAATTCAAAAATTTAGCACAAGTTTAAAATAAATTAACATAATTTTGTAAGCTAACAATATAAAAATAGTAAACTCGTACATTCAACTGAGTTTATAAATAGTATAAGCTTAAGAGTGAGTTGATACAATTTTATAAACTGAAAATATAAAACGTTAAATTCAAAGAGTTAAATCATAAGTATGACAACAATGCTCGTTATCTCTCTGCAGTAAATCTTCATTTATTATCTTTTATGTATTCTCTTTATAAATAAGAGTACAGTTGAAGAGATATGTATGCATCTTACATATGTGTTGTTTTTAGTTAATTTTAACTAACATTTCAAACCGTGTGACTTTGATAAATATTATTGATTAGGTTATTTTCTTAATCTCGCTTAGAATCATATTCTCTGGAATTCACCTACCGTTATATATGCGGATTTTAGTTCTAAAATATCCTTGTTGTTGAGAGATATTTACATTATTTTATCAATTGATTTTATAACATAATAATCACTTCATTTTGAGCCCAGGTGACAATATTATGATAAATTTGTGAGTGTTTGGTTTAACTTATCTAAGTGATTTTATATTGTACCAGATAAATATGTGAAGAAAGTTTTGTCTTATAAAACTTAAAAATGATTTTTTTCGGAGGAGTTAGCAGGGGAAATTGATTGAGAGAAATGATAATGTTGAGACCAAAATATGGCTCGTTATAATTTCTTAATTACTTTTTTCCTTCATATTTCTTTCTATGCGCATAATTCCTTCCATTAATTTGATGTGAATGGTGAAAGGTTATTGTTACATATGGCATTAAATCGAATATATTATGCGTATCAAAAAAAAATAAATCGAATATATTATTTAATTATTGATCAATATCATGAATGTGTATTGATGTAATCTCATTTTGGAAAAGGTTCCACTAATAATAATAAATGTCAATTATTTTTTTAAAAATGTATTGTCCACTTATAAATTATTTTATCTGCCATTCACTTACAATCAATAAAAGAGATTGTGTAGGAGAGAGAAGATTATTGAGATGATCCGTTTTCTTCAAAACCTAATTTTAACCCAAAAAAAAAAGTGTAGCAAACAATATTATTGATAAGTAGTAAATTATTATATTGTGAGGTTCATGCTTTGCATGAAATTTAAGATGACCATATTATTTATAATTTATAAATAGTATAACCTGTCATGCATCTTAGATTAAAGATATAATATGTCTCATTTTTTAAGCTTTTTATAATTGTTTTAGGAACCAAAACAGATCAGATTCATCCTTATATAACCGTTTGTGGTTGGAATGTTGGACTGCTTTAAACCATTTTAAATCAGGAATTAAACCTGAGAACTATATTCAATTTGTTTTTCCAAATATACCCTCACTATTTATGTTTAAAGTTTACTTTCAATGCCTCGAACGCAGCTTTGCTATTATTATATAATAAGCTTATTATTAACTCATGACATTTCTAGTTCATTATGCAAATTCAAAATTAACTAACGGGAGTATTTAATATAATTCGCCTAATTTTTATATTTATTGTTATCATGTTTTACAAAATACAGTACACCTTTTAAATATAATAAGAAAAAATGCACAATTTAATATTCTCATTCGTAAAATCGTATTCAATATTGGCCAGCCACAAACATAAAACGTTTATTGAAACGGTATTATTTAATTATTATTTTACTTACTTGTTCTAATTATTACGATTATCATTAGAATATTGGTCAGCTCTCAATATATCTGCGATATGCTGGACTGTTGGCTGAAAAATCTACAATGTAACTAACTATCATCATTGGAACTAGAAATTTCAAAAATATATCTAAAATTTAATGAATATATTGTAAATATTGTCAGGAATTTATGGTTCTCCGTCATATAGTTTGAAAATGTCTTTTGAAATTTTATTTTACCTTTGATCACAAATACTCAATAAACCTGCTAATTTTTTAAAAGGATTTGAATTTATTTCTACTTCTCTACTACTATTTATAAGTCACTTCTAAGATGTTTCATATAAACTAAGAAAAACTTTAAACTTTATTAACTTTCATTTAAAATTCAATAACTTTTGAACTTTATCCTTATTTATTATACATTATAATAGATGAAGGAAAAAATCGTACATCCACATAAAAAAGATTTTCTTACTGTTCTATGAATAAAACCAAAAAATATCTTCTCTTTTTACCCTATAGATAGGACCACAGGAGTATAATTTAAGAGAAATGTTACTTTTTAATTGGGATCACGGAATTTGAAGCATTTGTCATGGGTCACAGAATTTAATATTTATTTTCGTATGTCGATGTTAGTGGGGGGAAACAAGAAGGACGTTGATGGCAATATTAATAAGTGACAGTTTTTTTTAAAATTGGATGAAGGTGAAATTTTTTATGTAATCACCTAATTAATGAATTAAGAAAATTGCATCGTAATTTGACTTAAGACATAGATAGTGTATTTAATATTGCCTCACATGCTCATATCTGAATCAATGTTTTGTTAATTAATAACTGATATACTGTATAAGCTAATAAATATGTCATAGACTCAGTTAGTGATTGGACTTATTTAATTTTCATTAGCATATTGATGTTTTAACATTATTTGCAGTATTTTTTGCCAACAATATTATTAACCGATAGTATTAAAAGTGTATATGCGACTAAAATAGCTGATTGGCATAAATGTTGTGATAAATAAAAGACGCGCAACTTACTTATATCATTTATTTGGCCAAAAGTTTATTTATAGAATTCAATAATATCTTGAAGAATCATGGGTATTTTTTAAAAAATTACAGAAATACTTAAAAATTTTAGATCCTTAATCGTTTTGATAGTGCTTATGAGAAGATATGGTTTTGGGAATTATCATTCAAAATAAAATTGATTATTGGTTCAATTAAAGCCGCAATAAACATTGATTTGGATATAATTTTCCCTCCAACAGAGATTGTTGCGTCATGCGTGCATCAAGAATACCAAAATTAAGGAATCTTGCGAAGCACTTGATCCACTTCCCTTGATGGTCACAAACATTTAGGTATGAATGTATGATTATTATATCAGTCCGCAATATGTATAGACAACATTAAAACTAAGTACATGTATGTCATATATGAAATAAAATGTATTTATTTCAATAATCTGTGAGAAGCATTTGGTTTTCTCTGCTCATAAAATTTGAAGTATTCCGCTAGGTCACATGTCTGGTCCATAATATAAGAAGTAGGTTAGAAGAAAATTGTGTCCAAAATATAAGATGTTGTCATGATAATTAATTTGATTTTTCTACTTGTCCCTATTAAATATAGGAGAGATGAGAGAGATGAGGTATCATGAAAGTATAACATTAAAAACAACTTTATCATTTTTCACAGGTAAAATAGAACAACTTTGTTATTCTAGGACACATTTAATGAAACTTTTATTTTTTAATATGTGAGAAAAGTTAACTAACTTCTTATATTATAGACTAGAAGAAGTACTACCTCTAGTCTTAAATATAAGAGCTAATTATTTGTCTTCGATATAAAACCCCAATTAATTTTGTCTCTTAAATTTATAATGTGTTCTAAAAAATATCTCTATTGATTGTAACACATTTCCACCCAAATGTAGTTACATGATTCAATAAGGATAATTTAAGGAAGTCAACATATATTTATTGCAAAATAACTAAATTAACCAATTTCCTTAATCTGTCAAAATTAGTTATATAGCTCTTATATTAAGAAACGAAGTAGTATAATTTAAAAATGGGCTTTGAATAAATGAAAGAAGGATTATTCTGATGTCAATTCAAGTTGCCAATAACAATTTGTGACTCATCTCACTCTGCCATTGGATAGAGACAAATTATTTAAATTCCCCCTTAATTTGACTCAAGAAATAATTAATGATAAATTTGAAGCACAAGATAGTGTATTTAATCTTGCATCACATGCTCGTCGATGTCTGAACTAATCTATAGATTAATATACGCTAATAAATGGTCATAGTCAGTTAGCCATTGAAATGCCAAATTGTATTTTAATATTAATTTTATGATTTTATAATGCAACAAATATTATTAAAAGTGGATATGCAACAATAATTGTTTGACATTGCATTGGATACGGTTGGCATATGGTCATATACTATGTATTTCATGGTGTAAAAAAGCGCCTCATTCCAAATTAATTATAGGCAGCAAATAAAAGAAAAAGAAAAAGAGATTGTATATATATAATTAAAAAATATTTATATTTTTGGGGAGCCATGAATATGATGGCCATCAATTTTAACTTCACACGCTTCCAAATCTTTTATAAAAGATTATGTATTGTTTCATGTATTTGAATCATCTTATGACTTTGACAATTTTGTGTGTGTATTCCTACGAAATTAAATCTTAACTTTCCCCTGGATATAACTGTCAACAATATCCGATGAAATTGAAAATTATTTTGATAGTTAGTCACATATATATAATATACATAAAATAATTTCTTCCCAAATTTGAGAAGC